GGAATCATGGGTTGCTGAACCCCATGCATCCAACCATGATCCCTCAGACTTTGCCAATATACGACGATTCGGTTTTGACAATCTCAAAACAATGGATGATGGCCCATAGATTTAAACCAAAACAACTTGATTGAGGATAATTTTATGAGAGTAATTGTCCTCTTCCAGGGTCAATCTCCACAGCTCAGCCAGCAACTGCTTGGGCTTCCCTTTTTCACGCATGATACTATTACCATCCCCTCATGCGCTTACGATCCTTCTATGTTTCTGATAGATGGTATCCCTTCAGAAAGCCGGAAAATTGCTTTAACCATACCCAAAAGAATCTTCGATCCACACACATTGCATTAACTTGCACAAGTGACACACGCAACCCTTTACCACTAGAAATGCGGCCACATCTCTATGGCTACTTATTTGATGTTGGCCAATGGCGGGATCGAAAGTGTTCAGAACTTCTCTGCATACTTCCATTGTATCTAATAGTGCAGTAAGGATATGTGACTGATCCAAATATGTATTGTTTATAGATTGTCACTCGACGTATACGATATCAATGATTGCCGTGAGGTTAGGTCGTGATTGGATTCAAATATTGTGATCATGGTTTTAGTGGATTTGATCTAGGATCACCTTTGGCCATGGGCTACGTTGGGGTGTATCATGATTCATGATCATGACCAGTTTGGGGAAGTGGGTGTATGTTACGTGATAGTTCATGTAATTGGATTATCCGGAAAAGGTGTTATGGTTTTATTTGGGGACTGTACAGCTGCGACGCAGGATTGACAGCGCTCGCTCTGGCCCGCGCTCGATTGTGCTCGCCAGTTCCACTGATCTTGCCATGCTCTCATGGAAGGCGATCGACGCGCAAGTCAAATACACAATTGCGTACACAATACCATTCACAATATCTAGACTTCGGGAGGAGTAGTGGTCCACAGGCGACGACGATTTTACGACATCTTGAACTTTGCACTCTCAGCACAAACTTGATCATCTAAGCCAACATGTGAGAGCGCGGTAAAGATCTCCTTACATGTTGAGGCGCGTCAGTTCATGACATCACTCAACTGAGAGTATTGTGTGTCTGCTGGCTATGGCGCGCCGCATCAGCTTCCTCCTGGCAGACTGATGTCTCAAAACCTTGCTTCGAGTTTACCTTAATTCTCTGTGATTTCATTTTCTCTTGTGAAACACCAATTTTATTGCCATCTTATCTGGTCTTCACTTTTATGTCCTTCTCAAGTGAATGACCAAATTTCTTTAAATGAAACATGAGGAAGATCGGTCGAGATCAATATCAATACCATTGAAAAGTTCTACTACATTTTCCTACATTTCTGCTTGTTTACCAACACTACATTTGTATTACCACATGCTATAAACCTACATATATACACAATTGCTTGCTTGGAGTACCAGGGGTCAAATGTGGTCAATGAGGTGGTCCATGAACTCAAACAAAGACAAACATATCTCCTTGGTTCAAAGCTAATTTGCCTCCTTCATGATAGTCCAAGTAAAATGTGGTCAGCTGCTCAACACAATCAAGACCAAGAAGAGGCTGGTCACATGAGAAGTTCCAAATTTGCGCAATTATCTGCAGGGACCGGGTACTGTTTGGCACAGCAGTTGGAAATGCATAGAGCAAGCTGCTTTCTGTTCAAGGCCTGGTGAGTTGATCAGCTTCTTGAGCCTCCTGCAAAGGATTTAAATGGATGGTTGATGAAAAAGCATTTGCTCCAGGATATAACATACAACGCATACAGTTCCCGGAATCCCGCGGTCCACCTGACAACGGCCTTATGTAACATGCTACACGGCCCACTGTAGGTATGCTTATGAAGGGGGCGAACGAGGTGGCAGGAGTTTTTGCCTTTATTGGCTGACCGACTTGCTTCAAAGTTCTCCAACCAAGTCTGAAGGCTAACCTCACTACTAACCGCTTTTTCAATACCTTAACTTATCCTCAACTATCGAACATCAACCATCGAAGTACTCATTCAGAACCATACAACTAGCTAATCATGCCCAAAGTCAGCTGGTTTCACTTATCTATGATACTAACTCATCGATTCGACGCTAACCAACCCGAACTATTTTCGTCCAACCATCAGAATAAGGGAAAGGGAGGAAAGAATCGTCGTCGAGGAAAGAACGAAAACGAATCAGAGAAGCGAGAACTGGTTTTCAAAGAAGATGGACAAGGTTGAATTTGACTCTAGAATCGACACGACTACTATGTCTATCAAGTTGACTTTCCTTCCCCTTTTCGGATGCATTTTGACTTGACAGAATACGCTCAAGTGACAAAGATGCTCGGAAATGGTCGTCTGGAAGCAATGTGCTTTGACGGTGAGAAGCGACTGGCTCACATTCGAGGGAAGATGCGGAAAAAGGTGTGCAAAGACCTCATCACACCGTAACCCGGATATACCTACCATCTTCCGTTTGGACTAACTAATTCTGAATGATTGTGTGCTATTCATGTTAGGTTTGGATCAATCAAGGAGATATCATCTTATTATCATTGCGAGATTTCCAAGATGACAAGGCAGATGTAATCCAGAAATACACCACTGATGAGGCTAGGAATCTGAAAGCATATGGTGAATTACCAGAAAATGCAAAGATCAACGAGACAGATACCTTTGGGCCTGGTGAAGATGACGAGTGTAATTTCGAGTTTGAAGAGGTATGTACCCCTTTTGTCTCTTCGTATGATCTATCGACACCTTACTACAGTTCATGCTGATGATGATGACTTTACCTATAGGCCGATATTGATGATATCTGAGGTATCCATCGGTTTAGTCCTTCTCTCCTTTTTCGCAAGTGATATTGTACCGCTTTGTAATTTCTCGCAAGTAATCTTCGCGGCCATGCATATCCTCTGATTCTTGCCGACTAGCCTCCACAGCGCTTGGTCAATCCAGCCCATCGTCTCCACTCCTATCCTCCTACCTCAGCCTTACTGCCTTACGTTACTCTACTTTCCTGCCTCTGATTTCATCCACTGTGTCATTTTGCAGCTGTTCGTTTACCTCCTTACTCTAGATATGTGTCAATATATATACAGATACAAACAAGCTTGACTGTCTTACTTCCTCTGATCAACACCTTTTTGATTCAATACAACAGGTGTATATTCGACATTGGAGTTATCACAGTCTGATATTCATTTCCGGTTGGGTTTTTCGTAGATTTGTGTTCATGATTGGTGACATTGCAGGAATAATTTATCTATAAGTTCTCCCAAAGGGAAATTGATTTGAGTCTTGAAGTATCGCCTTGTCCGAGATTCGGGCCTTCTCATATCGATAGAATGGCAAATACTAACTTCTTTACTTCACGGCGAACAAATCCTTATTGACTTGCATCATAAACCAATCAAATTTGCCCCCTTTGATCTCTATAATCTCCGATCTTGAAATACCATATGAAATTGGAAAGGTTGGCATTTTCTCTCCTAGTTTCTAGCCTCTTCGCAGCACATGTAATTCCTTTGGCACTTTTGTTGGCCTACTTGTGACGGGCGGGCAGTTGTACATATATGCAGATGCATACAGTCCTGATTCCCGGATCGACCTCTACCCCTGAGTGTTGGATGATGACTCAGGTGTCATTGTGAGGTCTAGTGACGTCACATAGCGTTCACATAGCGTCACAATGTACCCCACAGCCAAGCATTTTGTACATTCAAGCTGCAGGCTGATGCAGGCTGATGGATGTCTTAGAAATTAAATGCTGAAAATTGAGAATGTTCTCAAATTCCTGGAACAGTGTACCAATCGTAAGCCCTGGTTCACTTAAGCTCACAGAAGTTGACCCCTTTTTGTTGACCCCTCTTTGAATGACTTCAAAACGGGCGAATCTCCCTCAGCAAGATATAACAAATGGTGTCAGGATGCGCAGAGGGGGTCAGTTTTTGAAACGCTTCATGAACTTCGACTCTCAATCCATCATTGGCTTTGAAGATCTATGTATTCACGTTGATCGATGATGAGGGGAGATGTTGTGTTATCCCCGCTTTTCCCCTTGGTTTGAGTATTGGTTGTATGAGGATCAAGTGAGTAAGGAGGGTGATTGTGAACAGATCTCATATAGCGTGTTCAGTCTCGCCATTCAATTGTCAGACAAGACCTTCTTTCATCCGGAGCTATTTTCTCAGGCTCGACTACGAAGAACTCGGTAATCACTTTGTCTATCAACATACAAAAACAATGAGAGACACCTATGATGAAGAGAAGGGCGGCGAGGAGATTGAAGAGAAAAAGAAGTTGGAAGTTCAGAACGGACCAGATCCTAAACATCCGTACGTAAGAAGACGGCTGGGTTGTCCTTGTCCAGCTCTGGCTACGATGATCAATCATTCCTATATGTGAGCTAAAAAGTAGTATCTTCATGACAGAAGGCTTTGAGTTGATAAAATGAAAATCTGTTATAGAACTCCGAAGGACTCGAAAGAATCAATTCCTTGGTTTCAACTCATCAGTGGACTTATGAGCTGTTACAATATCAGCTTTCCATTTGCTTTCCTATTCGTTTTTCTGGTCAACTTGAAACTGAAAGCATTTTGGGGTTTCAGTATTGATATGTTAAAAACTCATGGTGTTCTAGAACACGATGCTAGTATCAGTAGATGGGATGCTGGGTGAGTGATTCGCTGAATAGATAGGATGGCTAATGAACCGTCTTGATGTTTGACTGATGTGGCTTTGTTCTTGATTTCAACTACGGCGAAAAATGTGATATGTGACGAATCTTGATCTCAGTGAAGGAGATGCGCTCAACCCAGACCCACAATTAGTCTCAAACTTTCTCGATTCCATTGATTACCCAGATCATGTTGCACAACAGGATAAGATGATCACCCTTGATGATTATGCTCTAAGAAGAAGTATCCTTGAAAAGGATATCATCGATAATCGTCCTCATCAATCAATGACCAAACTTCATATGGTGAGATTCATCTCGTCTTTGTCCCAGTGTTGTAAAAGTTTTGGGAATTTATCTGGGTGCTTTGAACGCACCTTTAGCTTGGAATTGGTGAAGCTGTTTTGGCCGTCAAGGTTTTCGAGGATCAAAGATCGATTCTAGCCGCCGAACCAGCCATTTGCGCTCGCTCTGAATGGCTAAGAGAATGGTAATACAAAGGAAACTCTCATAATTATATAGAAAAGGGTTTTCCTCATGAAATTTTTACATTGTTTGCATGAGTACAGGTATAACGACGAACGTCTTCCAGTGGAATCGCAATGGAAGAAGCCACGTAAAACTATCAACTTATTTGAGGTGATTCGGATTGCATATCGTATGAATAAGATGATGAAAAAAATTGGAAAGACTTCCGACATGAATTGAAAAGTCAATCACTTCAACCCTGGTGAATTTCCATCAGCATGCTCTAATTTTATTTGGCAATTCACAAGTAGAGATGTTTTCTTGAAAACGCGAGTTTGTGGGGCATCACATTTGCGGATGGACCATCACATTCTGACGTTTTCAAGATGCTGTGTCTTTTCTTTTCGTTGAAAAATACATAGTGATGGCCCTATGAGGTTTCAAAAATCAAAGCCGATGAGATCATTGAACTCCAGCTTGATTGGGCGTAATGGAGAAAGTAAGTATCCTGATGATGCGATGACCGTGCCAAGTTTGTGGGACCATGCCACTTTCTGGTCAGTTACGTCATGTGCTATAGGCAGACAACAGCATCACAAGGATGTTACCATAAAGCACTGCAGAGCATCTTTGACTACACGACCGTCCAACGATCTGCCAGGTGCGTTATCTAAAATTACCAAACTCCCTCCCTCCCTCACGAGTAGTCGAGGTGAGGGAGGGACTTTGGTAAGTTTATGTGTTATCTTACAGACATCCTCACGAAGGAAACGAGGTTTTGTGTACTCAATCTCTGTAGCTGAGGGTTTTCTCGAATGAACGGTTCCATTTATTTGATTGATGAAGATGTTCGTCCAGGTTTGAACCTGAAAAGCTGAGTTTGCACAGTTCTCGATTTTGAATTCCTTCCATTAATTCGATACATAGCAACTTCTCCAAGATAATCTCAAACATTACGAGATCGAACAAATTCGAAAAACTTATCACTTTAACCACATTCAAAGAAATTATAATAAATCAACAATCAATGAACCAACCGCAGATCATGTGATTGATCAAAAATGCAAACAAGCCTAATATTGTTCGTATCCATCCCCTCAAAATAATTGGTATTTTGAGCCCAATTTCTAAAGTTGGATTTCTTGTCATCCAAACTTGAACGTTGAAGGCCGCAACCCAAGAAGAAAATACAAGGAAATTATGAAGAAATTCAAGATATGTATATTGAATGACAAATGTGGTAGCATCAGTGCAGTAGAGATCAATATACAAGATGGTCAAAAGAGTGGTTTAAAACGTAACGTTGAGCGCAATATGTTTCGTTAGTAATTTACTTCTTTTGGACGTCACAAAACATATCACTTAGAGCATCCGCCATGGCCTTCCTCTGCCTCCCTATTGTGCGGGGTCTCGCACATCTAGGGGGTCAAAACACGAAAAACCGCTTCCTTGCAAAATTCAGAGTGGAACCTCCAGAGCCCTGAAATTTTGATCGAGAGTCTCTACATCTGGAGAGGGGCTCGTAGGGGCTCTCGAAATCACGTGAGCTGGGTACACGTGATGGCGGATTGTTATTATTGCTCAAGTTTTTTGATTCCATCGTATTTCGATCTATGTCGATTCCTAAACTCAACACTCGAGACGCAGCGTGGGATTTTGTTGAGTTTAGTCGATTCCATTTGTTTTCCTCCTAACATAGCCCAGATTAGCCTAGATTCAACTAGATTCGACCTGATTAAACTACGGCTCGATCCAGGGTGGGCATAAAATACAAATCTTCGACTTGTTTTTCTTTCTTTCATAAATTTTTCTCGTGCTACCATTTTCCCCATACACGTACAATGACGTTATGTCTTAGCTTGAGATTGCGATTTGAACTGAAGAATCTGGAAATGTCAGCAATAGCAATCACTTGGCAAGATACGCGACTTCCCGTGAGCTCACGCGACTTAGCGGGCCCAATATTTTTTCCTTCGAAATGAGAATGAATTATTGGAGTGAAGAGGAGTGAACTAATGGACACCCACACCCCCAATCGGTGGGTGTTGAACTTGATTGTTGAGCCCAGAAATAAACTCTCAAGTTCAATCCGGAAACGTGATCCGGAAACTTCGTCGGGTCAGCCCAATGCTAACACTTGCTCACATCAGCACCAAGGGCAAATGTTAAGTTAGCGTTAAACTCTGCTAAACTTATCCAAGTCTTGATTTTCAACTTCTCCGAGCGTAAACTCAACCAAGTCCCTCCCTGCTTCTCACACCGAGGGACCTAGTTGAGTTACAATCGGCCAAATGGCTATATAAGAGGACTCCACAATTGGTTTGTCCCTCATCTGCACTAAACATTCCAAACCACTCCAATCTTGAACTCTTTACAAAGAAAACATTCATTCTACGCAATAATTGATTTCTCGCAATGGTTTCCATCAAGTTGTTTATGGTTGCTATTCTAGCCGGTGAGCAACCTTTGTATTCGTCCCCCTTTTTGTTCATCATCAATCCAACTGATGTCTCCTTCATGTGATATAGTCACCATTTCTGCTGCTTCAAACCCAGCTGATGAATCGTAAGCAACCCTGTCTTTGTCTGTCTCCTTAAGTTGATTGCTAACAAGTGTGCTGATCACCATTTTTCAGGGTCGCTGGCCAAGCCCTTCAACAACGAGCTCACGAAAAACGCAAGCAACGTATGGAGTCAGTGAAAACTATTAGCCTTGCTTTGAACTTTTTCACGAGTCTGACTTTTACTAAAACTTGGGCAATGATGTGTTGAATAGTCATGCTGCTTGCATGAAAGCGCGGAACAGAGGTTGCTGAGAACCCAGGATTTGAAATGGATACTACCCTTGATAAACTTGTTTTGAACACGCCAGTAGTGGTCCGGGCCAAAAAATCCTTTGTCTTGTTCTCTTTGATTCAGATATTGCATGGTTAACACATCTAGAATCTTGTTTGTTGTTTGTTGAAGGAATGTCAGGATCTGAATAATTGGGCTAGTTGTGTGCGGGTACTCTACCCCCACTATATCTTCTGTACTGTCTTTCTCCTGTTCCTTTTGTATTCTATTTTGTTTTTGCATTGGCAAGCTTCATCCATGGTTTTTTTATGAGAAGGAATTCTTTACTACACTGGTGAAATCTATTGAGAAATATAGCTGTACTGCAGATTGCATGAAACTGAAGACCTTCTCACTGCTCCTCCTAAGCAGTTGAACAAGCAATCCAATCACTTACATTGTTGTCAACAATGATTAGTGGTGGATGAAGTCTTGAAGAGCCTCGACTTTGGTCCAAGTGAGCAATGCATTTCTCGGTGTGCGTAGCTTGGAGCTGTTTGCATTTGGACATGTTGATTCAGGAGCTCAGCGCTTGGTAGCAAGAGGTCGCAAGTGTGCAAACTATATGTTGTATGTGATCATCAGCTCAGCCCAGGCTCAGCCGGGTCGAGAGTTTCCAACATGTATCTCCACGGGTAGCCTGGTGGTCTTGTATGTGAGATTGAGATGAGTGTTTCACAATCAGATCTAGGATGCCAATCTGTAAGAAGCACAATATGAGGTTCAAGGAACCGAGTTGCAAACCTCCACATTTCTTACACTTTGTTGTCTTGCGTTTCCTGAACAATCTTTCCAGTGTTTGAAGTGTTTCCGTACATATCTTTCATCCTTCCACCACATCCCACTATTGCTGCTACGCTCATTGGCTTCAAAGCCCACATCATGCTCATCATCTTCCTTGGGCTTGGTCTTTTCCTGTTTTGCAAAACTGCCCACAGTCATTGCACAGATGTTATGGTTTAGGTAAGTACTCTTTTCAATGCCTATCAATGTTGATTGATGGTATCTGACGCGACAAACAGTCTCAATCTCAAGTAGTTATTTTGATGGTCCCATCAAGATGTAGCCAAGAAGTGTGAAGACCACTTTGGGCCGGCAGGCTACAGATGGGTTCAGATATCACCCCCAAATGAGCATTGCTGAGGAGATCAGGGGTGGGTCAATTATCAGGTTTGCAAGAAATTTACATACCTTAGCTGCAATGAGTAAGCCTAGTTTTCAAGAGCCAAACAGACTGTTAGCTACATCTTACACTCCAAATGTGGTACATGTGGAGAGTCTTCCAATATGATCAAATGTTGCAAGGCCACAAGTGTGGGAGGTATTGTTGACACGTAAGTTATTTATCTTTCTATCCAAGGCTGAAATAGCTGCCAATGTAATGACACATAATTGTCAGCCTGAGACTTAAAACGGATGGCTTGAAGGGAATTGAGGCTGAATGATGTTGCTTGAAGCTTCTTTATTGGCTTTGCTACAGAAGTTTACTCAGGTAAATTGAAGCCTTTGTAAAACAGGAGCTGGCAATTCCATGTTGTCTGAGGTGCGGGATGGGTACTGCTGCCTGATACTTGCTGAAAGGTCTGTTCCAAACTCCTGTCTCAGGTTTGTAATTCTGTAACAGTCTAGTTTCTGCATATTAACAAAGAGATTGAAACATCTGGGATGTCAAAAGGAAGTTAATCCAAAATCAAGCTTGCTGGGTCTTATTCTGTCTCATTTCAATAACCAACTGCTAGAAAAAGCAATGAACAGTAATGGTACTAGATGTTCAAAGTCAGATAAGAAAGATGAAATCAAAGAATTGAGATGATCTCAATCATAAGTAATTGCTGGTTTTAGTATAAGTCATAGAGTTCAATTTCTCAAAGGGAAGTTTTTTGGTTTGTAAAAAGATACTCTTCTTCTTTTTGGAGGCATGGAATCCTTGTTTTATATAACAGAGCTGGTTTTTTTGGATGCTGTCATCAGGGTTTGATCTTGAAACACACAAAAATAGCTTGCTTCTTGCGTAATTGGGTGTGAATGGCTTCAGATTGGCCGCAGGGAAGAGCATGCCTCTTGAGGATGCACCAGTGTGAGGACGTCAAGAAATCCTTGGTCAAATCAAGAGCTCAAGTGGTTTAGGCATCATCCAAGATGAGAACTTCAGCAAAACTGACACTGTCCAATCATTGGTATGTGGGTAAATCAAACATATTGGAGTTTGAATCATCACACTTCAAGTCACTTGGGAATTGAAATGATGACTGATTTGCATGACCTGTTCAGACTTGCCGTTGGGCAATAACCAGGTATCCCAATGCCAATATCGCACAGATATTCAAGGTAGTACTCCATTGCATCTAAACTCATAAAACAGTGGTCAAGATGACAAAGCTTACATGGAATGTTCTGTTTTTCAAGACCAATGGCCTAATTTCTATTGAAGGTGTGCATTCCAATCGCTCTTAAGATTTATATCCGTTTCTGTAGTATCTTGCTTTTGGTGGTGTGTTTGTGTGGTGTTTTGTTTAGCCAATTCCACAGGGAACTGGTTGGGATGCAGGGTGAGTTATTCTTTTGCAAAGAGATTCAACTTGTTAGACACAAAATGGACCTGTGTTGAATGAGCCTTTTCTCCCCAAAATTCAACCTTTGCAGATATTTTGGATGGTCAGTTGAGTTGATCAAAGTCTTTCTATGTAGTGATCATGTCTCCTCTGAAGTTGTCACACTGATGACCGTAAATGATGTTACTCAGTTCTGAAAGCACTGTCTATGTCACTAAACATAATCTTGAAAGAAGTGGTGCCACTCTCAAAGTCACTGATCCACAATATTTCATTGCTCACCTTCTCCTCCTCACATGGGATTATGACTCAGTTGATGTGTTCAGCGGGTACAAATATGATATATTCAATGATGGACCACCAAAGAGTCCAGCAGTAAACTGTAAAATGTTGATGATCTTTTGCTTTGTGAGAAATCTGGGGTGGTGATGGTACTTATACATACAATACCTTCCAAAGTACACTTTTTCAGTGGTTTGATTTGCAAACATCAATATTCAATGATAGTGGGAGGAATCAAGATACAGGCGCTTGCCAGACGTGAGCCAGTTAGTTACAAATGTCCTAATTGTGAGGGAATTGTCCAATGCAATTGGAAGATGTTAAATTCCTCGTCATTCACATCTACTGCTCTTGTCCTGCAATGTGACTTCTTTGCTTGATTTTCCTGATGCGATTGACATTGATCATTGATATTTTTTCTGGCTTGAATAAATGTAGTTGGGTAATTAGAATCTGTATACTTGTGTGGCTCAAAAGCTCTCATAGCCACAAACAATGATACCATTACCAATGATTGGTCAATCCCATCTGGAATGGTAACTGGCTTGAAGCAAGGCACACAAGGTACATACAAAGAGTAGGTGAACCTTTCTCATCCTACCTGATTTTGACTCTATCATTGAACCAGGTTTTATCTTTCCTTTACAGTGCACCAGGCACCAAAATTGTACTTCAAGTTGACCAGAGAGGTCAATTTGCAACAAGGTGTAAACATCCCAGCTTATTCAGCCATAGCTATTAATATTTATGCAGGAAAATGGGACATTGCATATATACCCCCAAAGGAACCAGACTAGTTAAAGAAAATGAAAGACAGGATTACACTTTTTAGGACGTTGTGAGACCTCAAGACTCAGTTTCAATTTGTGAATGGTCTCCCATGAGGAGAAACATTATGTATATGTATGAGCAATCCTTCATGAGTAGATCTTGTTTGTAACTTAAACCCATAGAATCTCAATTTGATTTGTCAAAAGTAAGGGACTTTTCCAATAAATCTCAAAAACATTCAATTTCATTGTGCAAAATTTAGTTTTATGATGGGAAGATTGTAACTTGGCAATGGAAAATTATATATTAAGATGAACCATGATTTGATCTCACTTTTACCCCAAACCTGATTTGCTTCCAGTCAGTTAATCTTTTAGAAAGTCTTGTACAGGCTGATCTCCTTCAAAGGAACCAAGATAGTAATCAGAGTTGAAAGTTTCATCATTTTTGTGAGCAAATTCTGGTTGGTGCAATCATTGGAGCAAATGAAGTTATCACAAAATAAGAATGAATGTTCTAATGTTCTTCTTGATGTGCTACATTGGTTTACAACTTTCTGAAATTGACTATTTCATACTTATTCCCTATAGTACCCAACTAAAAATCTGAAATTGACTATTTCAGACGTATTTCCTATGGTACCCAACTAAAAATTGTGTTGACTCCTGGTATGAAAATTCAAATCTTGATTCACAAAGGAGTTGACTTTAGTAAGTTACAAACTGATTTTTTGAAGGACTTTAAATCTGGTAGGTTTAATTCCAAGTTTCTATTGAAATTGAAATGTTGGTGTCCTTTGACATTGTAGGGAGTTTGATCAAGGTTTAATCAATCAGGATCAAATATCAACCATCATAAGTGGTATACATACCATCACCATGAAGTTGCAGATTCCCCACACAATCCAAAAAGACTCTGCGACAAGGTTTTAGTTCTCAGAGTAAGGCTATCTCAATCTTTCTTGAAATCCATGAATCCATATTGATGGATTTGGAGGATCCAGTGAAACAATTGCATGCTTTCATAGCATTCTGTCAGTCAATTGAATTGATGATGTGATTGATAAGGATTGGTGAGTTGATGTTTTGATTCTTTTGTTTGATTGAAACTTGAAAGAATACAAATTGTGAAGAAGTGAAGTGAATTGGGATTTCTAAAATTTAAGAATTGAATTTGAAGAAAAAAGAGAAAATGATTAAAATTTAGAATCATCAACTTCAGACTTCAGATTGGGATTTAGCATTCAAGTCAACAGTCAATTCAATCCATCCATCCATCAAGAACAGGTCAACAAGAACAGGTCAACAAGAACAATCTTATACTCATCTCATCATGAACACTTTATCATCCTCACCATCGGCACCTTCACCATCTGCTTCACCAAAACAAGAACAAGAACAAGAACCAGAACCAGAACCAGAACAAGAACAAGAACAACAAGAACAACAACAACAAACAGAATCAGACTCATCCAATCCTTCTCTGCCTCTTCATGAATCTCAACCATTCCCTCTTCTTCCTGAAATCGATCAAAACTCATCTGATCACTTATTTTGGTCTCGTAAAGGTAAATCTTAATTAACTTTTATCAAGAATCAAAGAATAACTAATCCTTTCTTCTGAATCTTGAATAGAATCTTCTCCTACTCGAGCTCTCACTCGTCATTCAAATCGTTCTTCCCCTTCTTTACGTCAAACTTCCCCCGTCAAACAAGCTGTTCCTCCTTTACCAACGGCTGATGATTTACATTTAGATCGTCTAAGGCTAGTTGACCAATCTTTCACTCCACCTATTCGTAATCAATCTCAACTCGAACATGAAGAAAAGGATTCATCAAACCTTAATCTCGAACCTCAATCTAATAGTCGTACAAACTCATTCGATTTAGGTAGTCGAAGTTCTCAATCTATTGATTTTGATACTAGCTCAAGCAGACCTTCATTTTCATCCTCTTTGAACCCTCCTATCAATCAACAATCTGTTGCTTCTTCTTCCTCTTCTTCTGCTTCTCAACACTCCACTCCACATCACTCTCGTCAAGATTCAACTAATAGTCGTAGCTCTATGCCAATCAAACTTACAGATAGTGGTGAAAATAATAAAATCATTGGCATGTATGAAGATCGTCCAATCTCAACTTCAAGTTTACCTGTCATGAACACCTCGGCTTCAAACGATTCACATCGAATGGCTATTCATCCTGCACACTTTGCTCCTCATACCGAAGTCGATGACTCAATCCCTTCACCCTCCATCCAAGATGATGGTTACGGTGGAGTGATCTCATCCCCAGTCAGCTCACATGAAACCATAAACTCCACTTTGAATAGGCTAGCACCTGCTCCAGAGTCTTCTAATGATCAACAAGGCCATGTAACTGCACCTCATCCACAACAACGCCTTGCTGGCCCTGGTTCAATCAACTCTTATTCGGCTTCTCAACCAAGTACATCTGGCTTTAATCGAAATGATGTCATCGGGGAACCTTCCACAAATGTTAACAACAATCTTCGTCCTCATTACCCTCCGTATCCATCACATCCGATGGATCCCTCTCAACCATACATGCCTCATCAAGCTCAACAAATCTATGCCAACCCGAATCACCCTGGTGCACCACCTACTCATCATCCTCAACAACATCCTTCTCATCCACAAACCAATCCCTCGGCCTTGGTTTTCTCTCCACATCCTGCCTACACTGCTGTCCCAGGCCCACACAATCTCAATCATCCGTCTCAGCAGCTTCGTGGTGTTCCGACCGCATCTGCTAACGCCTTTTACGCCCCTAACCCAGCCCAACGTCAGTATTATCAAGCTGTCCCTGTGAATCAATTTGGCATTGGTGAGTCTTTGTGCCCTTTCAGAACACCCCACCTTTCTCGTGATCCCCTTTCATAATAAGACTCCATAGCTATTCATATCCTCGATGTTCACACTCTCCTTCTTCTTTGAATCTTGATCATTTGTTAACTTATCTCGTTGTTTCGACAGCTCCTCAAGCGCAACATCCTTACCCTTCAGGTCCCAACTATAGTGGCCCCAGTGGATACGCTGATCCCTACGGTCATCCACAACAAGCTTTACGCCCTCATCCGTCCTCTCAAGTTTACGCCCAGGGAGCCGGTCTTAGTCGATCCGGTACATCCATGTCTTCACTCTCTGTTTCTTCTCGTGGGCCGGTTCGAAGCTCGCCAGCTCCACCTAAACCTGGTCCTACCATCACCAAAGCATCAATTGATGAATATCGAAATCGAATCAAATCAGAATTAGATCCAGAAGCTCATTTCAATTTTGCCAAATTCTTGATCGAAGCAGCCAAAAAATTAGCATCAGGTGGTGCAGCTGGAGATGATAAAGCAATTAAGAAATATAGAGATGCACTTTTACAAGAAAGTTTGAAATTAATTAAAAAATTAGCAACACAAGGCGTTGGAGTAGGTAAACCAGCTTATGCAGATGCTCAATTCTTTTTAGCCAATTGTTTAGGAAATGGTAGTTTAGGATTACAAGTCGATCATGAAAAAGCTTATAATTTATATGTTCAAGCTTCAAAACAGAATCATCCAGCAGCTACTTATCGTACAGCAGTTTGCAATGAAGTAGGAGCAGGTACACGAAAAGATCCCAATCGAGCTGTTTTGTTTTATCGTAAAGCTTCAGCTTTAGGTGATACATCTGGAATGTATAAATTAGGCATGATCTTATTAAATGGACTTTTAGGACAACAACGAAATCCACAAGAAGCATTACTTTGGCTGAAAAGAGCTGCACAACAAGCTGATGAAGATAATCCACATGCGTTACATGAATTAGCCCAAATTTATGAAAAACCACCGATCGTATCTGCACCCACTCCTGCTCCTAACGCAGCATCCACTGCTTCTCGTAAGGATCCAACACCTGTGGCACCCAATGCACCAGTAGTTTATTTATTACAAAGAGATGAAGCATATGCAAGAGAACTTTATACCCAAGCTTCTCAACTAGGATATCCACCATCACAAAACCGATTAGGAGCATGTTATGAATATGGAGCCTTAACATGTCCAGTAGATCCACGAAGATCGATTGGATGGTATACCAAAGCAGCAGCCAAAGGAGATGCTGAATCTGAATTAGCACTTTCAGGTTGGTATTTAACGGGATCTGAAGGTGTCTTGAAACAATCTGATTCAGAAGCTTATCTTTGGGCTAGAAGAGCTGCTAATAAAGGTTTACCTAAAGCTGAATATGCTGTGGGTTATTATTCTGAGGTGGGAATTGGAGTCAAACAGAATATTGATGAAGCTAAAAGATGGTATATGAGAGCTGCTAGTAAGTTTTTTTGTTTTTCTTCTTTTTTGATGACAAATTTAGGATTGATTGATGGATTGGTTTGGATTTGCCGATTTACTTAGCTAATAATAATAAGAGAGCTATGCAAAGATTAACTGAATTGAAAAAGTTGGGAGCACAAAAGGTAAGCTTGAGTCGATCTATCTATCTATATCATAATCCTTTTGTGTGTCCATAAATTAATCGTTTTCGAATTTTTCTTTTGGTTGGATTTTTAATTAGCCTGGTAAGAAACAAGCTAGGCCTACTAGAGATCAAGCCGCATCAGAATGTATAATCTCTTAAGACCAAACCAAAGAAAGCATGGATTTGACTTTTTTTTATCTTTATTTGCGTTTTTCTTTCATTTCTCTCTTTATCGTTCATTGGTGTGTGTGTGTGTGTGTGTGTGTGTGTTTTCTCTGTCTCTTTCTTTCTTTTGTTAAAGGTTTAAATAAAGTAGTACAAGTATAAATGAATGAAAAAAAAACTATATAGTTTTATTTTTCATAAAAAAAATCACATCATTGAGAGCTACTCTCTTAAAAGAAAACTTTCATGTTGTTTCTTTTTTTTTTACTTTTTTTACATCTTGTTTTCTATTTTTTTCTGTTTTTTTTTTCTGTTTTTTGTTTTTGTTTTGTTTTTCTTTAGTCTGGTTTTGTATATTTTTGTTTTTTAGAGGTTTTTAGGAAATTAACAAGTGGTTCTTTTTATTAGGAAAAAGAAAGTTGATCAGGCAATGTAAAAATTTGAACATGATTTTATTAATATTCATAAGCTTTGAAGGTCAAAAGACAATTGGTTCTTTGCAAGTTTGAGTACATATGTACATAAGTCATTTTGATTTGAACTTGTCAAAAGAGACATCTTCAAGTTTTTGCATTGGTCAGATAAGGCAAAATAATTTACCAAATAAAAGCAATTACTCTAAAGCAATTATTCTCCGTAAAAGAAAAACTTTTTTCACTCAAAACAAATTCTCACACTCGTCAAAAGTTGATCCATACTTCATTGTTGAAATTCTATCTTTTTTTTTCAAATCAAACTTTGTGAAAGTTCATCTAATCCTCATCTTTTTCTATCTATCAACTTGTTTTTGTTACTTGATCATTCCAACAAATCATGCAAAAAAAATCACAAGTAAAAAAAAGTAAGAAAAAAGTCATTTTTTTCAAGTAAAGTACTCATTTGATTTGGTTTGTTTAAAAGAATGCAATTTCTTCATTCCTTGAAAAATACCAAAGAAAATCCAAAATCCAAAAATCCAAAATCTAAACTCTACTCAATAACCACATACTAGCTAATTGACTAACCGAAATAGCAAACAAGAATTGAATTCGTTTTGATTTTTGACCTGCATTAACCGTAGAAGTAGATGCAGTACCAAAAGCTTGACCACTTGGATCAGGTAAGATCACGTATCTCAACGATCGTAACTTTTAAGGGAACAGGTTTGATTTAGTTGAATGAAATTCCAAAGGTCATAGAAAAGGATGAAAAAGAACTTACTAAGAAAAAAGCATTCGAACCAAACACATAAATGAAAATCGCCCAACAAATCGAAGATCTAAAACCAAGTAAAGAAGCCAAAAGACTAATGATAATCCTGTAAAGAAAAGTTTTTTGTTCCAAGAGTAAGTTTCTAATTGAGAAATTAAAGCCTTCATGTGATACCAGAAAAGAAAGAGAAGAGACTTACCCCACGAATTTGTAACCAGAATAAGCCACTAAATCCACTACTGCTCCATCCCCACTTATGTTTAGTAAATAACAACCTAATTTAATACAACAAAACTCTAAGAAAATGATTCCTAAAGCTTTATTCGAGAAAAAGTACAAAACGAAATCGGGAATTAGACATGATTTGATGATGAGAGTGTTAGAGAGAATATTTACCTTGGGATGCAGCGATCGAAAGTAATTCTGGATCGAATCTACCTTTTGAACCTGCTACTGCTCCTGATAAAAGAATATAAGTAGTTAAAGCCATCACTAAAAAAACAAAACAAAAAAACAAACTTAACAATAAGTCATAAAATTCAAAAGTTGAATTTAATTCTCAGAACAAGAAAACGGAAAAGACGAACCAGGAATATAAGCATCAGGACAATTGATATCTTCTCTTGGAGGTTTATAACCTTCAATCTGACCTGAAACTTCAGATCTTTGTACTAATCTAGACCAAGGTTTATGAGTCCAAGGAAAAAGAATTAATTTAAGTTTGTTGAATACATAGAGATTTGAAACGTTAAAAGAATGTTTTAAATGAGTCAATGGTAAATATCTTGTAAGCTATTCATGAATTTTTTTTGTGAGTTCACCACCCAAAAACAGAAAATCATCCTAATTTCAGTTTTCGTTTTCATTTTTGTGGCGTTGTTGATTGGAAAAAATCGATCAATCTTACATTTTTCTCTACGTATTCTGATCCTGCTCTCATGGCTGATTGTCCGAATTGCATTCCCATTTGAGCCGTCACATCATTAACTCCAAATGCGTTTTGAAATCCATTAGGTTGTCCAAGACCAGGATGTTGATTAGGAGCCCCCGAATTCCAAAACTGAGGAGGGGCTTGTTGATGAAGTTGAGCAGACTGAGAAGAAAGATGTGATGTAGGATAATTGGGATTTGATTGAATAAAGTTATTACCAATCGGTTGATTATAAAATTGTTGAGGAGCTTGTTGTTGTTGTTGATGATGATGAGAATGATGATCAGCAGGTGGTGAACTAAATCTTTGGTATTGACTACCAGATGGTGTTTCATGATGACTATATGGATTATTTGAAAATGTTTGTGAATCTGGAATTGGTGGTGATGATGGTAATGGGATCGGTGGTGGTACTGGTTTAGGATGTTGTAAGGTTGGACCATTACCAGGAGATTGTCTTCGATTATACATATTTCTTGATAATTCAGTTAGTGTTGTTGGTGGTTTTGTGTTGATGGTTTGGTTTGGTGATGATGATGATGGATGCTTGCTGGATGATGATGAATGATGATGACGAGTTGAGTTGAAGCAAGTCGATCAGTTGAGAAATTCAATTCAAAACTACAGTTTACAAAACTCTATCTCATAAAACACACTTTCTCATAACACGCCCAATGATTACAGCATCTTGATGTCATCTCATCACCAACTTGAAGTCGTACTTAGCCACTAGGAGCAAGCTTCTAGAAACGAGAATAGGACAAGGAGCCATCGTGACGGCCGTGACAAACAATGGGTAAGTTTTGTGTTACGCGTCATTACAGTTTCTCATTGAGCTGTTTACCATTTTCAAGAAACATATCCTTACCTGCTATTTCATGAGGACACATCATTCCCTCAAGATGATCAGATTATAATCTGTGGATGATTAATTAAAAGGATCAATGTCATCCTTGTTGACTACCATGCCGCTAGCGGGAGCAATAGTCTCTGCATGGAGGATATCCATGACCTCTTTTCCGAGATTATCCCCAGAGACAACCTAAATTGTGACCTTCATTTCTCTGTGATTGTTTTTTTGGCATTGGTATGGACTTTAAAGCTGGCCAATCTTTTCGCAGAACCGGTGAAGGCAATATCTATGATGCTCGAGGCGCACCAGTCTATGTCAAGCCTGGAGTATTGAAACACCATACCACATTCCATGGAAATGTGTTCCAAGAGACTGCTCTGAACTCAAATCCAAATTACCTTCTATCTCCCTTTCAAAATCTTGTTGTGCCTCTGAAGTTGCCCCAGTTGGCACCTTCTCTGGTAGGCCTGTCAACTCACCAATGGAGTCATCCCAAGCGGACACTCCCCATGCTCGCACAGGAGTCACTGGAATACCTCCACCTCCATTTATCACTGGTCTTTAACACTTTGTTCCTAGCAGAATTGTGCCTCCACCTCCTCTGATTTCAAGGATTGAGGACTACCTTCAAGTCAATCCGGTTGCCAGGTCATCTAGAACTACTCAGGAAAAAGGGAAAACCCCAGCTGTTTGGTACAGACCTTATCCCATTCTTATCACTGGGGAACACAGACATCCAATACTTGGAGCTCACTCTATTACCATGCGAGGAGCTACAGACACTGGGGTTCCTAGTTTCTGATTTCTATCTTCCTTTGATCAAGATATTCCACCCTTTTTGCCAAACAAGTCTGAACTGCTGAACTTCCTTTGAACCAACCTACTGTGGCCTCCAACTTTATCCGCCATCCAGAACCAGAAATCCCCCCTCTTACTCACTCCCAACCAGTTGCTATTCCAACACAAGCAGCTATTCCACCACACAAGTTGAATTCACTAGCACAGCCCAGAACAACCTTGTCCCAGCACCCCCTACACGCACTTACCCAATTATAATTGATCTTCCTGAAGTCACAAACTGTGATTTTTCTCCTGTTGCACTTAAGGTTTGCAAAGTTGCTCTGTTCTATCAATCCTGTATCAAAGACCCATGTTCCAATTGTAGCACATCCATCAATAAACCTGTCAACTTTCCGCATACACTTGTCAGGACTTTATTGGAATACTCTTACATTGATCTTGCACAGCTGCATGCCAAACAAGCAGTTTGTGGAACTTCTAGGACTCAGATGCTCAAAAATCTAGATTCACATAAAAATTGGCAATTCAGCTTATGCCCTCAACAGACATCTATTCTTGTGGATGGAATTTTGAATTTTTAGCACCTCATTGGGACTCTCAAGCTGGCTTACTATTGGGATTCCACATACTTGACACCATTAGTCATAATTTTCTCACACTTAACATCCTACAAATTATAAAGATTGTGGAACTTTGATGTGATTCAGCCACAAAGCTAGAAGACTACCTCAGCTCAGCTCAATCTTTGCACAATCTTTCCAAAACTGCTTCTACTGAGTCTGGTCTTAAACTGTTGAATCAAGTACTAGCCTAATCAACCTGCTTTGTGAGGACTTTGGGGGGGATGAAGCAACAGCTCATGGGCAACACAAAGAATTCTTCTATCTTGAAGATCATTGAACATTCTCTAACCAAAGCTCCAATGAATTGATCTGAAACTACTCCTTTTATGGCTTACACTGCTGTTGCCAAAGCAAGGAAGCCAGACAAACCTTCTACTGGAAGCAAAGGTGGTGATAGGTCCAGCAAAGCCCCTGACACTCTATGTTCTCATCCTGGTCATTGTTTCTCCGTGAATCTCAATTGTGACTGTAAAGCCAGGAAATCCAAAAATCTCACTTCTTCTTGCCTTACACAATGGCAATGGAGTGCTTCTGATTCTAAGATCACTACCAAGCCATCACAACTATTGAATTCTAACAATGTTTTTCTCTTTGATCAAGATTATCCTGCCAAGAACTGGCCAAATTTCTCTGTGTATGTGTTGATGAGAATACAGAACAAGAATCTATCTTTCTCACTATGGCTTACTCTGCTATATCTTAGACTTCACCCATAAATGGAAAACAAGACTTCTTCATGGACACTGGATTGAACAAACATATTTTCTGATGTTGGAGTTTTTGTTAATCTAACCCCCAATTGACTTGTGACACTCAAGTCTGCTAATGGTGGAAGTTTGATAGCAAACAAAGCTGGTGATGTCACTATCACCACAGTTGACCTGGACAATAAACCCTGTAGTGCTACTATTGATCTCCATACTGCCCAAATGTGGCAGTCAACTTCATTTCTGCCACCAAGCTATGTGATTTGGGGCATACTTTGAGTCGTGATGCATAAACCATGACGTTCAGTCATGAAGAGGGTAGTAAAGTCTTTTCATTCAGGAACACAAACAGCATGGATCTGTGGAAAGCCATAGTAAGCCAGCACACATCATTTGTCTTTCCAATTCTTCTACACGGACATCCCACTTCAGAGCATACAATATAAAAGCTGGTTTACTCCATCAATGAATGTGTCATCTTCATTCCTCAGATTCAGGGCAATTCCCTGGTTTTAAGTCTTGTTACTTCCAAGTTAAAGACAAAGAAATGAAAAAACCCACTCACTTCAGTATATGGGTTGATGTTTGAGCTCACACTCTGAAGGGTTACATTTTTTTTGCTTTCTGCTTTTACTAGTGCCCTTGCAACTCGCACCATTGGAGTTCTGCATATGTTGGAATCAAATGAACTTCAACTTGGCATCAAATGACTTTGACTTGAATAGCCAGAAATGACCAGTGTACCAATTGAACCCCCTAAGCTTCACAGCTACTCTGTTGAGAGCTTATGGACCTTGATCTATCTCAGGCTCAAGGCTGATAAGGTGTACGCATTTTGGATTCCGGGTTACATAATGTGGTTCAAGACTAATCTTCAATTTTTTTTGATTTTTGATTTCTGATTTCGTACTTGAAGAAAATCTTGGAGGGTACACTACTTCTCAATTCCGCATGAGTCATCGTTCATCTAGATGTTTACATCGGGAAAAATAGGTCAAGCACAAGATGACAAAGGATTGAATTTACGAAATGCTGGCTTCCGTGATATGCACCCATTTTTAGCGCTTGTCTGTTTGTCTTTGATCTCCTCACTGATGCTCATGTGGTGCATGCGTGCGCCCGAGCATATATCAGAACATTCGTTGATCAATCCAAGCGCAACAAATCCTGGCAGACGCCTGGGTTTACCCGTAAGTTCAATGCAAAAAGATAAGAGAATGATCTGACTATCAGATTTGATCAATTTGCTCATTTTCTAGCAATATAATCACACCTGCAACTCTTTCCTGCGGTAAATACAAACTTAGCCAAGTCCCTCGCCAACCTTTGGTGAGGGTCTTGGCCAAGTTTGCGGCAAATATACAATCTTCACGATTCTGATTTCACCCTTGTGGGTTTACAGTTGAATTACCGGCACTGAGCTTAATTTAAGTGAAGCTTTTGCGGAGGTCGGGTTGAGGACTTGATGATGTGGGCTGGCTCATTGAGATCTAAACATTGAAGTCGTCCAAGAATGCTGCAAGAAGACAGCCGTGTCGCTCGCCCGCTGGTTGCAATCTGACCTGGTGACTTTGGGAAGTCCGACTCGCGTATGCACTCGGACCTCGGGCTTACCAGCAATTCAGATGGTGAGAGCCACAAATATCACACGGCGAGGCCTGTTAGGTCTAGAGTACCGGGTGAGAGGCGGAATGGGTGACTATAGCGCCGCGGATCACCCCTCCAAGGTAAAGTATCAACACCACCCAAGGTATGTCCGTCTCACTCAGCATTTCCATCCTCACGAGGGGGGTATCGGTTCACATTCATATTCACAACCTCAAAACTCATCGACCGACGCCTACGTGATACCCAAGCATTGTGACCAAGTGATTCGGGCCGACCTACATCTTCAAACGCAAGCCAGCAATGATTTTCCCTTCGATTCAAGGATTCCGATACCCCCCTTGACATTCCACGCACATTGGACCAATCCTTTCGCGAACTGAAGACTGATCCATTGGAACCATGTTTAATCTCACAAATAATCCAGGTTCCTCAAAATCGCCGACACCGATCCGCCGCCATGAAGGTCGAAACTTGCTCTTTCTCCGGCTACAAGATTTACCCCTCAAAAGTCAGTCCACCACCTCGGCACATGATTCCTCCGAACATTTCTGACGCTCATTCGTCTTCCACACATCATAGGGTAAACTCTATGTGCAAAAAGACTCCAAGGTTTTCCGATTCATCCGATCAAAGGAAGAGAGCCTACACCTTCACCGAAAGAACCCTCGTAAACTCGCCTGGACCGTGGTGTACCGACGTGTTCGACGGAAGGTGTGCCCGACATACCTCTTTAGCTTGTTAGATAATCATCAGCTTAATTTATTGCCGTCTTCGGTACAATAGGGTGTGACAGAGGAGGTTGCCAAGAAAAGGTCGAAGAAGACCGTCAAGGCTCAACGTGGTATCGTTGGTGCCGATCTTGCAACTATCCTCGCCAGGCGAAACCAAAAGCCAGAGGCAAGTCTGAAAAATCTCCAGCCCATCTACCGTTTCCAGAATTGACTCCGATTTCCCTACAGGTCCGAACTGCCCAGCGTGAGGAGGCCATTCGCAAAGCCAAGGAAGACAAGAAGAAGAAAGCCGAGGTTGCTAAGAAGACTGTACGTCCGGAGCTTACAATTCACCCAACCTCCTTCAATGGCTGATTTCCTTTTGCATTTCTCCAGGCTGGAAAGGGACCTTCTGCCAAGACTACTGCACCCAAAGTCTCCAAACAGCAAGCCAAGGGTGCTAAGACTGGAACCCGATGATTGGAGTAATGTTGTGTTATGGCCTCAATTGTACCTATTCCAACCGAGTCGTACAGGCGAAATTCAACTCTTCTATGCCCTCTTGACATGCAACACCCTGTAATCATTATGCGCTTCAGGATTCATATTCCTACCTTTTCATCACGTTCGATCATGCTTTACTACGACCCTGCGCTGCTTGGGCGTTGCTCTTCCTCTTCGCGTGTCCTTGCACTGTCCGAGTTACCCATCAAATGCCCTGTGCACCGCGTCAGGATTCAACATGTTGGGTTTTTAGTGTTACCCTGTCTGGTGTCGCTTGAATTTTTCAGTCAAGGGCTTTTTGCGAGCCATTTACTGGGACCCGTTGTGGGCAATTCTTGAATTAATTCTATCAATGTGGATCCATGTTTATTTCCTCTGTGCTCAAAGACTCGGATGTGGACCAGGTGTACCGCGCTAAGTCTGACGTGTCCGCTCTCAAATTGTGTGTTCCTAGCACGACTCGTGTCGATTGATTTGCCAATGCTTGCTGGCTATGATGGAACGCAGATTTTGATCGGCTGCATTGAGATCTGGCTGTGTCACCCTTCACTTTTGATCATGACAATGGCCTGAGGCTCAAGATTTCTTGGATTTTCATTTCAACACCTTCAATGATTTTCAATGGGCTTCTTGCCTATTTCCCATTTACATTTCTCAACACTGTACCATTTCAATTCTGTTTTTTTCTAATGGAAACTGGATACAAGATGTAGAAGTCTAACCCATCAGTGCCAACCAGATGGTGAAAGCAAATTTGAAGGCCAGAGGTATTCCATCCAGAAGTGACCCAAATTGTATCTTGAAGGTTTCATGCATAACTTCTCTTTTGATGTGCAAGTCCTTTTTCCCTTGGTTTTGAGTAACCATCACCATGCCTGTTTTCATGTGGCAAATCAATGTGCACAAATGTTTACCATTGCTCCTGGACGAGCCTTTGTAGACGTCAAAAATCCTTTGGGGTTGGATTCCTTTGTTTGACTCACTGGCCACACTTATCCTTTTTTGATTTGGGCTCATGGCAGGATGCCTCATGACCTACACGGTACCACAATCACATAGATACTTATGTACTTAGCCTTTGTTATTAAGCTTTGCTCCATGCACAGATGTTGAATACTCACTTAGCAATCTAATCTCATTACTATAAGACCTTTGAGACTTCCCTTGCATCCTACTCAGCTCTCAAGTCATATCAGATCTATGCAACTGCTTTCCCAAATACACTGGAGTAAAATTGCTTCCAAGGTCTGCACAGCACATGTAAGACAGACGAGTGTAGCCATATTCCTCCTTCTGCAAGGCAAGAGATGTCTTGCAAGAACACAAGAGATTCTTGCAAGCAAGACAAGAGACACATTGCAAGAGGCTTGTACTTTTTAATTGAGTGTTGGTACAGGCCTTGGTCAGTAGACTGAATAATACAGCATACCGTTCCCTGACCCTAATCCCTGACCCCTAGGCCCTAAGCTTAACCCCACCTAATCCCTAGGAGCACCATTGCTTTCTTTCCTCATTCTGTATTTTGTATCTATGTGATTGATTTCATTTTTGTTCATGTCCCATTTGGCATTTGTCATCAATCTCACGTTTGATCAATCATTACTGATATTGTTGTTGTTTTTGTTTCTTTATTGATTGCTATTGACTGTTGTCATTATTGTTTTTCATCAGTTGCTAGTAAGCATTGTTGTCACTATTATCTTTTTATCATTCACTAGATTTCTGTTGTTGATAATTGTGATTCTTTGTAGGTTCCTGTGCTTGTCTGTTCCTCAATTTGAATACATAATGAGGCATAATTGTGTAAGTGATAGACTGAATACATAGCAAGATGCTGTTGGTAAACACCACTGTATAGAAGTGTATTCAGTAGAAATTGTACCTCAGGCTCTTCCACTTGTCTCACAGGAGGGGGCATACAGCTTCCTACCTTAAGACACAGAGATGTAAGGACCATTGTGTCAGGGCTCACCAGTTTTGTAGGTTTGGGGCATCTCTATGTGTATGTCAAGAAAGACTTACAAACCATTCAGAAAGTATTGTCTTGGATTCTCCACCAATTTGATTGGGGTTTGTACTATTTTCTGGCCACAATCAGTGGTGCTTTTCTGGCATGGCTGTACCCAAAGAGTTGAGGATTCTGTCAAGAGGTGATGTGGATACAACCAAAAAACTGTGTAAGGGGAGATAACTTTTGAAATCCACAAGTCAAAAAAATGAGATCAGTTGTAAGTTGCTCTTTGCGGGTACAGAAGTGGCTGTACAAGGGGTTTAGTAAAGCACAATAATCTACCTGACTACACAGCCAAACTAGTTTGCTATCTGATGTTCTATTTAGCTAATTTGATTTGATACATGCAACCCCACTGCTCAAAGATTGATAGCAAGTATATAATCACAGTATGTCCAAACCCATAACAGGGGATGTGATGCAAGTGCAAGTGCCTACAGAGAATCCTGAGGTACACCAAAGTGGCAAAATTCTGGCTTTTATTGTGCGTTTAGGTGTATGAAATTGTATGTTAGTGACAACCTAATTGGGTAACTTTTCAAAAAAGATTGCTCAAGTCACAAATCTCACACAATTCACAAATCAAGAAATTTTTGGGGTCCTTTCCTTTAGGGCTATTCAAAAATATCCTCATAAGACTGATTTTTGAAGTTCTTGTATTTTTTTGATTTTTGACGGTCAAGGGCACACCAAATGAAAATTTGATTGATTGTTGTAATGACAGATTACCCGGTCTGTGGCTTCTTGCCTCTTGATGGTTGCCACTATACAACCAACATGAGTCGGCTCAGAGCTTGAAAAGAGCATGGGAGTCTACTCAGAAGGCATTTTTTTAATGTCCAACAAAAAATGATGGGCAACACAGACCGGGCTGCCAGGGTGCCTGCAGGGCTTTCATGACTCTTATCAAGTAGGTTTTGCTGTGTCAGGGCATGTACTGTCTGCTTCCAGAAAGGCAGCAGGGACAGCTGACCAGACAAAGCCGGGGCCGGGTCACAGCCCAACATGTATGAGAAACACTTGCTGGCTTGTAATCATCGCTTGAATATCACTTGCATATATCTTGTCCACTTGTACTTAAATGTCTCTATGTTGTTTACTCAGAAAAGGAATTTTACATTTTGGCAGTCTAAAACAGTATGTATGTCGCATATCAAGCATAAAATAGCACAGAATCTTCATAAATGACAAAGCCAGAGAAATTTTGCGGATTTAAATATGTTCTATTCGTCTGATATTTCAACCGAGAGACCTTTGCAGAACATATTTTTCTTTTTTTTTTGGTCGCTACATCTAGAATATTATTAGAATATTAAAGTGTAGGACTTCAACTGTGCCCCGTGGGGACTGGTCTGGACCTGTTTTATCCAGAGAAAGAATCCTCTATGGTTTTGATAATTGCTGGAAAATGGAAGCGCTCTTAGTCATCTTTCAACAGACATGAGCAACATAGAAATAACACTCACTTCTCGTCGGAACAACACAAGATATCCGGCTACGATGACCAACTGACAGGCAAGAGCAATCCAGAACTCCCACCTTGCTACAGGCGAGTCTCTGAGGGGTTGTGCAGGATCCCAGAGCCCAAGGTCTGGAAAGACGTGACCGGGTCCGATCCGATTAGGCGCGGAAGCCTTGGCCACCAGGACTGCAGTCGAGCCGATAATCTGAGCGATACAAAGAGTCGCTGCCACATGCACACGACTGAGAGTCTGCAGAAGGATGATACCCAGACCCACTCCTTGAACAGCGTCCAAGACTCCAAGCCATAGCCACAAGGAAGCTAATTCACCAATGAAAAATTGATACGCATTTTGTGTGATGTCGTCAGTCATCAGACGCATATCAAAAGACAGGCCCGACTGAGATACTTACTGCTCAAATATGGCCCAGCACCACCGGCCCAAGGCGTGTATAATGCAACGCTACTTGTTCCCCACAGCATCTGGCACCATCTTGGTGCACCCAATCCAACTGAAAAGATTGGCAGTAGCCAGGTATGTTGTTTAGATGCTTTACCTAAAACCCACATCGTGAGCTGTGGTTGGATTGTCTCAGTATCAGTTATGAACTCATTCATATTTAGAGCTCGCATCTCATTGGCTTACTCCCCAGACTATCACAAAGAAAAAGATGGTGAGAATTGCGGTTGCCCATGCTGGTAAACTTTGCCCGGACCAGAGAAACGACCAATTCCGACCATAGGGACCGGATCTGAATATTGAAGAATCTGATCAATAACATACATAGGGAAAAAGTAGTGTAAGTGATTCTCACAGCCAGTAGTCGCGCAGTACCTCGGCTGCAAGATACCATAGCACGAGTTTACGTCGGAAAAGCGTCTTGGCAAAATTGGGAACGCTTCCAGGAAGTTGATGGTAATAATACGGCTGGTACGATCAACATAGAGAAAATTTCAGACCTCGGGGAACGAAGATATCGAGCTGACAAAGAAGTGTTCAGAGACATACTAGTCCATAGAACAAGACGTAACCTATGAAAAAACATAGAGCCGCAAGAGTCAATGTGACAATATTGATCCACGCCGATGGAACCGAGCTTGTATCGAAGGGGTTGGTATTTTGCAGCTTGAAGCCCCAATACCACAGTGCTACAACCTATGAAAAGCGACTGTGGGTTAGATCCGTATTACCAGACCTCTCAGACTCAAAATATGATTGAATCATCTTACCCAGAGCTGCTGTGTGCCTTGTACAACACAGGCACGGTATATCCAGACATCAGTGTCTCCTCCAGCTTCTTCTCCAAAGTTGGCGCTGAAAAACACTATCAGATTTCACAAGCAGTTAGTTAGATTGATGAACGATGTTCAGTGTCAAATGAAGTCACTCACAGAATCCGGATGCAGAAGAGAATGAGTATAAACTAGCCGCTAGAAGAGATAGGGAATGGCGAATCGGGTATTCCTTCATCGACTCAGTCAACGAAGGTAAGCCGATGAGCATGAAGGCCAAACCAAAGAAGATCCATGGAATTGATAGCGACCAGGTAGCGGGTTTCATGCTTTTCAGCACATACCAGGCAATGGAACCGAGTATGTTCATGGCTCCAATAACTGATAGGTCAGACCAGAAGATAGGTCAGACTTGATGACAAAGCACATATAATATGAAATCAATGGCGTACTATATAGATCAATGTCTTTTTGAGAGCTCGTTCCCCCCAACAGCGAAAGCTGAAAGCTGGTAGCCCCCAAGATTTGTCCAGCGGTCAGAAGAATGCTGTAAAGTGGCCATCCCCAGTAGGTCGCTTGAAGCCGAATCTGCCATTGGTTGAGCTTGCTCTGTGTAAGAGGAGGCAATTGATAGCTTTCTTTATCGATCTCCGTTCCAATATTCATCTCACTCTGAGAGTTGAACAAACTAAACTTGCTGATTGTATTGGCCGCCGACGTTTTGCTGATACCAAAGCGCCCCGTAGACTCTCCATACAATGAACGAGCTACAGTGAGTTCGCTCTGTTTGACTTGTTTGAAGTACAGCTTTTCAGCAGATACTATGTAATTTGATACGCATAGATCGTCCATTGAATTCATCGAGTCCAGTCTTTTTAGCTTAGATATAAATTGACTTGCGACTTTCCCATCTTCATCGGTAAAATTTAGAGCACCTTGATTGATTGACGAGGTTGCTCCATACTTTTCTAAAATTTCATTAGTAGATTCGAATAATCCCCCTTTTGTTACGACGTTAGGCGGCTGGGCTGGGGCAATAATATCATCTTCCACAAGTCCTATACCCATCTCTCGTAGAGGTTCTTCTCCAGGTGACGGTGTTGCACATACGATAGACGCAGAGTTGACAGAACTGCTTCCAGGAGGACTTCTAGGGTTACGCGAAAAGACGCGTCCGACTTTCTCTCCGATTTTCAATGTGCTATCGAGATAGGATGCGGAAATGGAAGGAGAACTCAATGCGGAGCTCTTCAAACAATCTTCATGTGAATTTGACTTTATGCATATGTCATCTAGTTCCAATTCCATTTTTTTGGGATCAGCATAAGTTGTTGTGGGTCCAGCTGCAAGAGAGCCTGCATATTTTCGAGATGCGATTATTGCTCGACGGTGTAAGTTCTCAATCCTATTACGCCACTCGAGAACTGGAAATCGTTGAAGAGCTGCTCGTGCCCTAAGAATGGCACGCTCCTCAGGGCTCGACTTCAAGGCTTCCTTTATAGTCTTCAAGAACTGAGAATGCATATGTGCCGTACTATCACTTTCGACCTACATTCAGATTTCGGGTTAAGAATTCTACGGCTTTTTTATTAAGATGAACTCTCCGGCTTTTTTGATCCGGGTAAACTTACGGGAAACCACCAACCCGGCATGCGACCCAGGCCTCCCAGACGGCTCCCCACGCCTAACGCCCCACCTCGGCCGAATTCAACAGCGACTAGTCCAAAAGGTTCATCACTGGATGATGAATGAGCAATTTGTCAATAACTTCCTGAGAAAATCACAATATAAATGTGACCTTACCGGCTTGGAATCAGAGCAAAGTCTCCTCCTGAGAACACATAAGGAGGTAAAGCTGTAAACTCGGGCTTAGAAAACACTCGACCTGGATACATCTCCATCAATCGATTCAGTTTTGCTGCTGCAAATCGCCCATAAAGGTCGACTAGTGGTCCGACTGTGATCAGCTGTACATCCGGCTCCTCCTCTAAAAGCTTGGTGAACACGTCTGCGACCAAATCAACCCCTGAAAGTTGCATCACAGTAAGTCCTGGGTATCAGAAACATCATCACGCGTGAAGTTACCTTTCTGGATAGACCATCTTCCAACGAAGACGAACAGCTGAGCATCAGGGTCTTGGTGTAATCCCGCCCACTCTTGCGTTTTTCGTTTGTCCTCTGGTCTCTTTTCCCTATATATTCAGGATTCAGAGCAGTCAGAAACGAGGGTAGATGGAGATAAAGATACTTCAGGATTGGTTGGCGAAACTCACTCCGCATCACGGTTAACTATGACCTCTTTCATGTCGGTCGGCGCAGTGTCCAATTCAGCTTTATCGGATCTGATCCAAGAACATCATAGAACATTTGAGTTCTTCATCATAACTCTTTCCCTGAAATATTGTTGATGAAAGAAGCACTCACGGGTCGGGGTTTGGAAGAGAGTCAATTGTTTTCAATGTCCACAACCTGTCAAACAAAAGAGGTTGAGGCTTGCGGACGTGTCATGATATATGTTGAAGCGAACTCACGCAGGATATCGTGCCCAGCTGCGCTTCCCATATTTGTCACTAACACCTGCCACACCAATACTGTCCTGGTGATGACTTATGAACCTTGCACCAGCGTGTAGTAAGTTGAAGATGTTCCCAAATTGAACATACTTGGTACAAATAGGTCTAGGTAGATTGAACGCTTTAGAGACTTCATTGCCTTCTGCGATAGTTCTTAATGGCCACAATCCTTGAAATTCTGCATTATGTAATGATAGACATACGGGAAGTACCGCTGGAAGAAGATAGAGAGGTGCAAGTGAACCGTGGTAATCGTTGATGTGATAGATATCCAAGTTAGGTGTGCGACGACAGACTTCAGCAATGCTTTGGTTCCAGGCGGAATAAAATATGGCGGAATCGAGGTCATCCATGCGAGCAGGATAAGGGTCAGACTTAGTGTTCGCTCGGAATATAGGAGATTCGAGCAAGTAATATGTTATATTTCGGAGCTGATGAGTTTGACAACCGATTTGATATTGATTCCCGTGTATGGTGATCGATATCGGCGGCTCTGGGGTCCCTTCTGGATAGACAAGATCCTTGACCTTTGGAACAACCCACACGAGGTCCACATCATCCATGACTCGGCCCATCAAAGAAGCCATGACACCAAGGCCACCAATCTTCACCTGTAGCTTCCAATCCGGAATATCATACTCCAGAGTTGCAATCAAGATTTTTCGCCGAATTGCCGGGTTCTCTGGCCAGCGAGACTCCGCTTGCGATTCCGCTTGAACACTCTTCGATAACTCTGCCTTTTCGCTTTTTTGTGTTAGGTATACAATTGAACTTTGAATGAATGGTAATTTTGAAACGACTGTGAAAGAACTTTTCTCTTGGAACCCATACTTCGAGGACAGATTTTGAAAGAAGACTGAATGAGTATAATGTGACTGGCTTCTCTAGATATCATCATCGAATACTCACCTGGTTAAATTTGATGCTATAAAAAGCTTTCCTGAAGACCCAGCAAGCAAATATCGCTGTTGACAATGGAATGATAGCGAATAAAAAGAATAACATGATTCCTACAGACTCATTTCCAATCGGATAAGCGCTCCAGGTCATATTCAGTTGATCTACTGTTATCCTCCATCCAAGAAATGGTGAAGCTGGGTGGGAAAGATTGAGATAATTGAGAGCTTGTGTATTAGGAGGTAGAACGTCCAGCGCTCCATCCCCATCCACGTCACCGAAGACAACATCGTCACGCGTAGTGAAAGTGGTGAGCTGGAAGTGATTGGGCCACGTTGTGATGACCTGAAAAGTAGCAATCATACATTCAGTCAATTGTCAGCTTAGGAAGGCAATCCAAAAACCAACGTCAAAGGTCCAATTCTTTCCTCTAAGGACGAAGTTGTTCGGTATTCCGGAGTCCAATCCCCTGGCAAATCAAAATCAAAATGGGTCAATAGACAGCTGGAGATAAGCGCTTTACTTAGAGCTCTACGGGACGTCTATGTACCATTGATTGTAGGGCCCCTTCAAGAGTAGCTGGGGCACTCTTCTTACTATTTCTTGCCCGATGCCATAATCCGAATCCACCGCTTGAGCTGCCGAGCCTGCCATCTTCGAATGATATTGAACTCGGATATGGTTCCCATTCCAAAACTGGACGGTACTGAATGTGTCAGAAGGCAACTCAAACTCAGACGTATAGTTTCTCCAGGATGAGTATGTTTCCCCAAAATCAATCGAATAACGCATAGAATCGGCACCAGCTGCGTTTGAAACGATTTTGAATATACCGTTTGACTTCTTTTGCAGAATCCCTTTGGAGTAGGTCACATTCTGGAAAGTTATCGGGTTGTCAGTCGAGCCTTTCCGCATGATCACATGGTCTATCGAGTCAGTTGACACTCCCGCATTGCTGGTCACATTATTGACAGTGATTTGGTATATGCCATCGGCAGCTTGAATTATTGAACTGGACCAAATCCACATAGCAGGAGGAACACCTTTAAAGGAGCTCGCATTAGGGGACATAGATGTGCATGTCGTTGCGTTGTTGTCTATCTGTGGTTTTGAATCCGAAGAAGGATCGATCGTGTACGTGAGGGATACCGCGGAAGAAACACTTCTGCAAGACATCTGCTCGGAGAACATCAACTTGATTGGAATAGTTGAATTGGTTTCATGCGGCTTGGAGGTGATTCTCGCATCGTGACCTGGTGTAAACCCTACAAGGTGTGGAATAGGTGGCATCCAATCGCTGGCTGGCACAAAGACTTTGAAGCCAAAGGGATTCAATGTGATCGAGGGAAGACAAGCACGGTAGCGACCCTGTCCGTCTGCTGACCATATGTTTTGAGACACATTCAAATCATACGTTTCGTAGGGAAAGATGAGATTTCGAATCGTCATAGAGTCTGAATATGGAGCGAACATTCCAAGAGCTGATGTACAGTCATTTTCCAACTTTCTCGTTTCATTGAGATTGCTGTACAATATCCAAACAGTCACATTGGCATTTTTTCCTACGACTGGCTGATTGATCATGAATCCCCGGCTCACGCTCCAGACGCCAGTTTCTCGATTTGTTTTAGGTGATTTTGGAAATGGGTTGGTCTCTGTCCAGTTTCCGTGCTGAGTGAGATTGAATCCATCCTGAAGTGCAGCATACTGAGAGCGAAGATACGTGAAGTGCTTAAGCATATGTCGAGGCGCTGGAGTGGGGTCGAAATGATCAAGACTGTTCCATTCATCATGACATCCATTCAACGCTTTCTCGATAGGCATGTCCTTATATAATGATGAGCCTGCACGATAGCAACCATGGGTTTGCCATGAGCGGGAGGAAGTCATGGGTTGACGACCGTAATGGTAATTGTCGGCTAAGGATATCGCGAGAATAATTCGAGTGAGTACTACGAACATTTCTACAATAAGATGATATAGAGAATAGTCTAAAGTAGACCTAACCTGTCGAGTCAAATAGATACATCTCTTGTTCCTCTCCATAATAAAGGAGTGGGATGCCAGGTACTACCAAGTTAGTGATAAGTTGACCTAATAACATCTTTTCCGTGCCGTCTTGGATAGCAGACCACCTGAATAGATCCTGATTCGATGTACCATACAGATGACGAGGATCTACCACTCCAGTTTCAGAGTTTAAATAGTCATCTGTCATCAAAAAGATGATCGTAAGCTTTTAGCATCTCGATGTACGTCTGAGGGATAGATGATGTTTCTCACTAGAGACAAAGAGTGAATTCCAGGCTGTGACTAGATCAACTGGAACATCATTCTTCGGATTAACCTCGTGATCCAAGCCCAAAAGAATCGTCAACGTCCGATAAACCGAGTATTGAAAGAAAGCTGAATCAAATGCGTGCAGTTCAGTTTCCCTCATGAAATATTGGGATTGATTGGCTGTCATATGTAGTGCATCCTGTACAGTCAAGTTGGCATAATGTTGAGGCTGTCGACCACGTCCAATGTATAGTGCTGCAAACTTATCTCCATCTGTACTGCATTGGGATGAGAAGAAAAAAGAAAAAAGATTTCATTCGCCGTATGGGTTGACCTTTTGATTTCCTTCATCCACTTACATTTCACCAGAAGCAAAGAAATTATTTTTTCCTAAACTTCTTGCACAATTCTTTAAAGCCTTTCCCCACCTTCCCGTAAAGTCGACTGTCAGTTGAGACGCTTTGTCAATTCGGAAGCAATCCGGATCCAAAGCTTGGATAGTGAGACAAGTAAGTTTTTCTAGCTTTTGAGCTACAATCTCATCCCATTCTCGAAGACGATCTTGAACAGTTCCATACTTTGCTAGTTGTCTTTGAAATGGTTCAAAAACAGTAATAACCTGAAGATCACCGTATTGATCAAAATCACCATTATAACATCCGGTGATGGTTTCGTTGAATGCTTCAACCTTGGAACCGTTCAAGCTATAAAAGTTGGGAAGTGGGCAGTCCGTAGAACGTGTGTTGGTAAAGTTGAAGTCGGTATACGTTCGGAGCCCCCATGGCGTACGTGCAGCGTCTTTATATTCGACTTCGTAACCTTGCAAGCTAAATGGTGCAGTGACATTCACATAATTTTTGAACCCAATGCGGTCTCCCATTGTGTTGACCGTCATGTCGAGCATCACATACCTAGAGCCTTGACATCAGTCGGTTATGCGTGTTGTTCAGACAGGATGAAGTTTAAAGACTCACATTCCTTTGGCATGGATCTTGTCAATCGTTGCACGCCAGTCTTCCAAGGTACCGAAATGTGGATCAAGCAAAGTAAAGTCGAGTGCTGAATAACTATCTGATTGCCAGGGCATATTCACCCAGGGGGTACCAGCAATATAAACAGTTCGATAACCCATTCCGCTGTTTGGAATTATAAAGTGCTTTTAGAATCAATTCATGTAATGATGACATGAAAATGCTCAACTATATATAATCCAAGACCCTATCTTGTGCCAATCCTGTGATATCTCCACCGTGTCTTAGTTCTTGATTAAAAAAGTCCAGAAAATAGGGAAATGTTCACATTAAGTTGATATTTTGAACGAATGGTTTGGTATCAAGTGTTGTAAGAAATGTCTTACGAGTTGCAGATTGTTCCCACTCAGAACGAGTGCCGAAGAAGTCATTATTTGATGGATCACCATCCACCAATCTATCAAAAGTCAAACATACAATCAGTCACATTTCTTCAAGATTGCTTTAATCCATATATAATGAAAATCAGAGTCACTCAACCTGTCAAGGATCACCGTGTAGAAGGGCAGGGTACGCCAATTTGAGGGACTAGGATGATAGCCATTAATCCGTTTTTCCGGCCAATCAGCATTGTAAGAAAGAACTTGATTTCCAGCAGACTGGTTCACATTGATATTGTACTTTTCCAAACTTTGATCATAAGGATGAGTATCGATAGGTGAGAACAGAAAGACATAGATCAGTACCAAGCAAGATAGCTGAAGATTGTATAACATGACCATCGAAAGAAAATGTCCTAGGATTGATAGAGACTGGAAAATGAAGACACAACACTCGATTAAAAAGAAAAAGAAGATGAGTCTTTCGATTCTTTCAGATATTGAGCATCTCCACCAATTCGAAACAAAGCTCAAAGGCAAGATTGACCAAAGTATTTCGTGAGCGACAGGCGCGTCGTACAGAGAGTTCGCGTAAAAAAAATTAAACTTGCTTGGTAAGCCTCACCCTGGATTTCTCGGGACTGAACTCACTCTTCTCAATTGAAGCTCACTATTACTGTCTTGTTCGAAATCATAAAGGGAGAGCCGAGCATCGTGAGGTAGGCTGTGCTTAAGCAATCTGTTACAAAAAAAACTGTGGTCCAGAATTGTAGTTCGCTCTAGTTTCGACGAATCGCTTGGGTGACGGCGCAGGGGCAAATTGTGATCGACTTCCAAAGGTGGCGAGAAGATCTAGTTACAAGATGATTTGATTTAGTTCAGAGTCAAATTCAAAAAAGTTGGGTTTTAGAAAGAGTACCCTACCCTCACGATCATGTACCGTTGATACAAGTAGCGTCGTAATATCGCTACATTTTCTCCATTTATGTAGAATGGGCGATAGACTTTTATTTTGGTTCACTGCGTCTTAAATGGCTGTGTACAGACTAGCTCATCAAGGAACCGGAATCCGAACTTGGCTTTACTGTGCTTTTTCCGAGAAATCGACATTATCATGATATTGCGAAATGCCATGATCGGCTTGACAGAGACAAAACATGAAAGATTCGTTAACGATTTGTAGATTGATTCGTCTTATCACTGGTACATAGGCCGATAAATTACTTACCAGCTCGATCGATCACTCGCATATATTCGGTGAATGAGAATGGCTGTGCCGTACATTTATATCAACGGCTATCAGCGGCTCATGCCGGTGAATTTAAACTATCCCAAATGTTAGACTTTGATTTCCAGGTCGAGTTAGATTTCTTCTGCGCCCATGTGAAATAATTTTTAAAGGATCCTGAAACTGTGACATGCTTGTCTTCAACTGTTGACAATTCACCGTCACGTCAGTCACCTCGCAGCTGAAGAATCATTGAAGTTTTCAAAAAAGATCAGGCTGGATTCCAAGTTACAAACCCTTTTACCGACCTTGGCTTCCTTGATGAAGCTATTGCAACACATGCCACGGCAAGTCTGCACCAACCTATCAATCTATGCAATTGAGCGATCGAGACGAGCTTCAAGACTCGGGTGGACGTACTTTTAGGAAACGTTTCTGTTCATTTACCTCTTCCGCAAAAGGTTATGATAATCTATTCACACTGAGACTCAGAGAATCCCTCTCAAGTTACAAGGCTTGAAGCATCAGAGTCTGTTTGATAAAGTATATCTTCATGCATATAAATGTATGCGTAAGTCATAAGCCATCAATGCAATCCAGCGCATAATCAGATGCATGTCATGATAAGTTTAATGTAACACAGCAAGAAAAGTAGGAATAATTGGTTTTCTTTTCTCCAACAGGCCTGTGTATAAATAACAAAGTAAGATATATTTTGAATATTTTACTTCACAAAGTTGAACGAAAAGTAAAGTATACAAGAAGGTACACTTTAAAGTAAAAACATCTTGGAAAAGATGATGATGAGGTCTTGATGGGTTTTTGTTTCTGAATTGCAAAAGAACCCATGATGTTTATGATCATTAGAAATGAACATAGTTTTTTTAGGAGCACATAGATTTTTCAGCACTCATTTTTAGACATCAGATTCAATTAAAATCATCATTCTCTTTTGTTTATATACGCGCTTAGAATTGTCTAGATTTGTTTTTTGTTTGATTTCTGATTTTATTAACATATAATATGTGATCATCGTTGGTTTATCATCATATCAACGTTTTCTTTTGTCTACGTTTGAAGTTTTGAAAAAAATCAGATTTTCGATGATGTATTAATTTTTTTTGATTCCTTATTTGATTGATGTTATCATGAGTAGTGTTTTACATGATTTTTCCTGTCCGAAGCTACTGCCTTGAAGATTTTTTGTTTTACAAAGATAGAATTCCAATCAAGTGGTATGAATCTAAACAACTTCCCATGATCGATGATATATTTTCAAAATTCGTCAAATCTCAAATCCTACGACCGAACCGAATTATCCCTTTCTTCCAAAAACTGTTTGATCAAAATCCCTTCAGCAGTCTTGATGACCTCTTGTAACTCCACCCCACCTTCCACCGAATCAGACTGCGAATCCGCCCATTCACACGCTTCACCAATCGCTTCATCAACCTTTGCCATCTGACCATCTGGACCTAATCCTCTAGGAACCCCTCCGTTTCGGTTCGCAAACCTTCTAGCTTCTGATTCCCAATAGATTCTAGGAATGTATTGATCTGATCTTAAACTTACTAATCCTGGCCAAACCACATCTGATGTTCTTTCACTCATCCATTCAATTACTTCTTCACCTGTTTCGGGACACTTTCTTCTCCAAACAATCGCTGGTTTTAAAAAACTTGAATCTCCTTCGGTTCGGTTGACGTTTTTATTAGAGTTTGATAAAGAATCAGATCCATGATGTGATTTGATCAATTGATTCAGATTAGATTCGACTACATCATTTCCATACCTCGACTCAAGTGGTCCTAAGATTTGATGTTGAAATGAATCTTTCAAGATCGATAAGTTTTCTTCTAACTGGTCTTTTTCAATTCGATCATCCATCTCATTCCAATCATCTGTAGGTCTCCAAAGTTTTTTCAAATAAAGTAATTGTCCAAACGCTTCATGAATCCAATGATACAAATTAATTTCATCTTTTGAACCAATGGATTGCCAAAGTGATTGATGTGGTGGTAAGTCTAACAATCTCATCTTTCTTACGATTGAGAACCTAATGATAGGGTTTAGTGATGAAAGTTGACATTTTTGGTATGATTTGATGGCTTGAAGTTGGATGTGAATTGGAGTGTTTTGGTTTAATGAATTGATGTCGAGGTGTTGATGAAGTTGTGGTTGTGGTTGTGGTTGTGGTTTGGATTGGTGGTTAGGTTGATGATGGATTGGATTGAATGAATTTGATCTTGGTGATTTTGATTTGTTTGTTGATTTGTTTGTTGAGAATGATTTGATGAAATGGTTAAGTTGAGTTGATCTTGGATAGAACATTGAGGATTGATTGATGGGAAACTCTCTGGAAATGAAATATCATCAAAAGTTTGAATGACTTACTATGGGTTTACATATCAACTATGGGTTTACATGGATGACTCAACTACTCAACTTTTTTCAAAACTTAAAATTTGAAGAAATCCATCCGATCCAATCCAAACACACCAAGATGACATCAGGAAGACGATCTCAAAGATTAATCGAAAAAGAAATCATTCAAAACTATTCAGAATTACCTTCAGAAAATGAAACTAATCATCAAGATTACAATGATGAATTAGATGCAGATGGTGAAACAAACGAAGAAGATCAAGATCAATCAAATCATCAACCAGTTCAATCTACTTCATCTTTCACTTGTACTTCTAATATAGATCCTCAATTATTTAATCAAACAGTCGATCATCCTACTTCAACAACTTCAACTTCCATCAAACTTGAATCAACAACTGACGAATTGAGTTTGATTAGAGTGGCTTTTAATGAATTTAGTAAAACCCTTTTACAATTCTCTTTAGGTAAAAATCATAAATATCCTACTTTGATCGATCATTAAAACTCCATTCAAAGGTATCTATCTTTCTTCGTCTTCAATGGGTTAAACACGGTTCCTGATTCTTTGCTTTTTTTTTGTGATTAAGACGATTCAAGCCATTCATGATTCTTAATTCCAACAAATCCATCTTACAGTACACATTATTTTGATTAACCTGTTCATGAACTTTCTAATTATCTGTCTTTCTTCTCTTTTATATTCAAATCTTATTAGTTTACTTATTCCTTTCTGAAACTTGTAGTCTTATCTCTTTATTCAATTCTTATTCGATTTTTATTCTAGGTTAAGAACCAAATCAAATCAAAACAAAACCTCATTGTATAAATCACTTTGTTTTCTTTTTTCGGGTTTTTATCTTATTTGGTCTTGGAAAGGTAACCTTGTGATGTTAATTTTGAAAACATCGCGTTTTGAAAAACTTTCCGCCATGTCATGTAACATTAAACAAACAAATAAATAAACCTGAGTTTTTCTTTCATTCGAGTTATGAATTCTTGATGTTTATGAAACTTTTAATATTTGGAACCAAATTGAGACCACTTGGTTGAAAGTCAAGTTGATGATCTGGTTGATTTGTAATAAGAAAATTCAATTTTCAATCCTCAGGTTTGCAGATGATGACAAACCATCTTATCAGATCTTCGGAGTCATAGGCAGACTCATCTTACTTCGCATCAAGACACTTTGCAATATAGATGAGGACTTACAAAGATTGCCAACAATCCATGTAACTTGCTTTCATACAAATATACAATGTTCATGTTCCAACCGAAGCTCTCAAACAAAAAACCTGGTGGTGCATGAACCAAGTTCGAATGAATTTATGGAGTTGAAGTCAGAAAAGTTTCTCATCAAACGTCTAATTTAACCACAATAGGGTTTTTTAAAAAACTTGATTTCTCCAATTTGGAGTGACACTGATATACAAGCTTGAAACTTTGCATCAAGTTTGATTGTGAAGTAGTGGACAAAGCTTTAGAAGGGATATACATATTAGGGGCGGTTCAAGTTAAAAGAATGCCTAAAATACAAATGTCCCTACATCAAAACACTGCTTATGAATTTTGAAATTTTCGAAAAAACTTTGAGAAGGCCCTTCCTGAGAAGCACCATTTAGCGAGTTTTTTTGTAAACAAAGAAGGGCTGAGAGGCACAAGTTAAAAACAATTCGACTTGAAGACATGCAGCAAGATGCAATATCACCGGGACCCATAGTAGGATGTAGTAGTTTCATCCGGTGGGATACACTTACACTCACCAGATCCAAACTCAGATCCCGCCACAACCACGCAGGCCACGCGTGTTGTTCAGCAAGGCGCGACTTGGCAAGTTCGTATCCAATTTCTTTGCGATCAAATATCTTACATTGGCAAGCAAGGACCCAAGAACTTTGAAAAAAAAAACTTTATAGACTTGATTTCTTGATCTGTTCTATCGTGATCTAGGTTACGGTGCATTTTAATATTTCTTTTGCCAGCTAGACTTCAGAGTGTGATTTGAGCATTTGAGAAAGTAGGATGAAGTGTTTGGCGATGCGTACTCTAAGTTCTCATATGTGTCACTGTTGGATTTGAATTGAATTACAACACAATTCAATAGATCAATATCAATTTCGAATTCAATTCAGATTCCTTCCCCTCTTGTTTCTAGTTTGAAGCAAATTTCATAAAAAAAATGGCGACGTGGAGAGAGTGCAAGAATAGTTTTCGAAATTGAGCCGTATTTAAACGAGACTCTTGATTTGACCACCAAACTTCTTTTCTTTGTAAACTTCCATTTTTTTGTCTTTCTTCCTCGCCAGTCTGATCATCATTCGGGTAAGATTCGAAGAGCTCTTACCTAAGAGGGTTTCTATACGACCGACGTTGAATTGTATGTTGGTGTGGAGTTGTGTGATTTATTTCTTTTCTTTTCTTTTCGATAGACTCATCATTGATCATTATTTTTTGACTGGAAATTGGTTTGTCTAGTTGGTCTTGATTGCCTTAACGACAACTTGGAATTCATCGCTTAGTTCTATCATCAATTGAGCAACACACTTCAATCTGATTTCATTGATTCATTTCTGTTGTCAGTACTCCTTCGAACCCTTAAAATTACCGCCGTTGCAAGCTTACTTTTACTCACTCTGGATCTTTCTCATAGACTTTCCATAAAACCTTCAGCAAACTCATTCTGCCCTCTCTTGTGGCTTTTTACTTTACTTCTTCATCATCATCAATCATCAATCAATCATCATCTTATTTGTTTTATTCGAAAAAAAGTTAATTAGAAATCAATCTTACATCAAAAATGTTTCGACCAAGTTCGAAGCAAGATATGCTTCCATTCACCAAGAGTGATACTACCTCCAAACGACTTTTATCAACCAAACCTCGACGAAAACGATCACGTTCATCTTCTGGATTACCACCTGCAATCTATGATATCTTATATACCTATCCAGCTTCATTTAGAAATTTGATACTAGTCTTATTGATTGGTTCAATCTTATTTTGGATCTCAACTAATGTATTAGTCTTGATGAGATTTCTTTTAGTCGATACACTCTTTTCCAATGGTTTGTTAGGTAAAACTCATCTTGCCTTACGAAAACAACCTTTAATCTTTATTCATTCTCCTTGGTCTGCAACGATTGTTTGGGAAACAAATCAAAATCGAACAGATGAACATCATCATTGTAAGAAAGGTGTTGGGTTAAGGTATTGGAAATCATCTAAAGTAGGAGACCTTCAGTATACCGGTCAATCTGCTTTAACCATACCCTTGGTGGAAAAGATGTCAAAGATGATTGTGCCTCGAGTCGAAGTGGTTCAACCTGATGGATATGGAAATCAAAACCGATGGATCCATTCAGTTTTACTTGATAATCTTGAACCTGGTATGAATTATGGATATGAATTGTTTTTAGAATCAAACCAACGTGATATCAATAACCCCAAGATACCTGAATCGATTAAATCATATGGAGAATTCGAATTTACTTGGCTCGGCATGAATCCACCTAATCCGGCTAATCTAGATCATATCTCTTCTACTTCTCCTACTTCCAATCATACCGTTTCTTCATTCCATATGGCTATCATTGGTGATACTTATTCGAATCCACGTGGATTACATTCATTAGCCAAGAAATATTTAGATTTGAAATCTTATGTTCCTTTACCTACTTCGGTTTTTCGACCCAGAAAGATAACCGATCATTTCAAATCTCAACCAACCAAACCTCATGCACTCATCCATTTAGGTAATGCAGTCTCAAATCCAGAAGATCACAGAGAATGGCAAACTGGCTTTTGGGATCCTCTTACCTTTCAACAATCAGCCAGTTCAGAAGTTCCAATCTTATATGGACGAGGACCCCACGATTTCGACAAGAACGGATCAAGTCTCTATACCGGTGGACTTCCTGGCGTTCAATTAGGAGAAGTGAATCGAACAAGAGTAGCCTTACTCAAAAACCAATCCAATCGAATCATCTTACCAGGTTTTGCAGTAGCCGAACGTCAATACACAGCCATCCAAACTCCTAAACGAGATAGAAGAACTCGTGCAAGTTTTATTGGTTATTCACCTCATCCTAGAATTAGAATCTTAGTTTTAGATCCTAATTTAGTACCTGAACGTCAAGCTTTTATTGGATCTCGTAGTACATTAACCGAATTAGGTGATCATGAACATTGGTTATTATGGGAAATGGCTAGACCTGAATGGAAAGAAGCTTCGATTAGATTGATTGTGGTTAATGTTCCGGCTTTTCCTGAATTTGTTGATCCTCTTAGTTGGGCTGAAGGTCATCAAAACAATTGGTAAGATTCTCATTTTTATTGATTTTTCTTGAATTTTATCCTTGGCTAATTTTATTATGAAAATTTGGTATTGTTTTTTTTGAAGGGAAACATATGTTCGAACTACTTTTGCTCCTCATTTTCATGGCATTTCAGCTATTGCTCGACAGTTTGATATCCCACCTGCTACGATGGTCATCTCATCACAACCAGCTGCTTATTACCGTGGTTTACTCCAAAACTACCTTGCACAGGATTACGTGAATGCAGTCACACCAGATCAGATCAGTAGTGCCACCAAACATGCAGCATATGTCCAACATTACAGTACATCCGATCCACATTCACCACATCCAGAAGAAGGCGTGATCTATGTATCAGTACCGGGTCAGAGACCAAAAGGCAAACCACATGAACCAGCCGAACATTGGGGATTCTATGAAGTAGCCAGTGATTTTAGTAAACGATCACATTCACCATTAAGTTTTTCATCATTAAGTTTTGATCTTTCACCAGATGGATATCAATCTAAATCAGATTTAACAACTGATTGGGATGAGAATTTAAAAAGAAGAGAAGAATTCGATCATCAAAACATTCGACTTTATCATATGATTGGATCTCAATCTACTTGTGATAAGAATCATACTCATCTTTGGAAACCTAATTTGGTTTATGGAATTGCTTATGATAGATTGTATTTTAGAATCATGACTTCTAAAGGTAAAGTTTTAGATCAATTCGTTGTTGAAGCTGCGGCTTGTCGTTCATGAACCCCCCCCTTCAAAATAAATGTTTCTTATTGATTCCTTAATTTTTTTTTTCCTTATCTTGGTTCTAATTCTTGTTTTCTTCTTTATCTTTTTTTTTTATTTTTTTTTATTTGGAATTGTTTTTTTCTTTCTTTCTTTCTTGTATATGTTTTTTTTTTTTGATTTATTTGACATATACATAACATACCTTTTTTTTTTGCAAAACAAAACAAAACAAAAATAGAGAAAAAAATCATTATTAACATAAAAAAAAATAGCATGTTTTTTTTCTTCATTTCTTTTTGGATAAATTGACCCAAAAAAAAAAGTAAAACTGATCTTCTCAAAGCGAGATGTGTAAAAGTTGGATCCTTTGTTCATCAGGTGTTTTTTATCCTGTTACTCTGTTACTTTGTCTTTTTATTTCTTTGCAAGATTTTGAAATAAAGTGTCATTTTTATGAAGCGCTTTTTGGTTTGAAATGGAAGAAATGTGATTTGAATTGATTGAGCGTTGGTTGAGTATTAAAACAGTTTAAACTGAATGAGAAACTCAATTGGATTGGTTAAATTGTTGTGGCTGGATTGGATTTTACTTTTAATTTCATTTCGATCACCAATATTCCGATCATCACTTAAAGCTCAGCATTTTATCAATCTCGCATCACTCCACTCCATCAAGCAACCAATCAAAATGTTAAGAAGCAATGCTCAAAACAAATCAAGTGTTTATCTCAACTTAGGAACTAGCTCAAACTCAGATCTACCAACTTACAACTCATCATCATCATCATCATCAAGAACACATTCTAAATCAAATCAAAATAATAAATTCATCAAACTCATCAAATCAAATCAATATACTAAATCAATCATCAAGAAATACAAATCTAATCCATTCCAAGTTCAAGTCTTACTATGTTTAATTTCAATGGTCTTTTTAATGATTTATCTGATGAACACCAACTTGACAGTTTTATTATTTAAATTTAAAATCAAGAATTCATTAGTGACATCAGGTTGGATTGGAATTCGATCGATTTATATTAGAAAACCACCATTATTGTTTATCCATTCATCTCAATCAGTTTCGATTGTTTGGGAAACTAACAAACTTAAGACTTCATCAGGTTATCAATCTAGCTTACAATTCTGGTCATCACTTCAGAATCAAACCAACAAACCAATCAAACAGATCATCGAACCTAATCGAATTCAACCTAATGCTAAAAACAACAATAACAGATGGGTTCATAGTACTTTATTAGATAATCTAATACCAGGTGAAAGTTATACTTATCAAATCATTCTTACTAAACCCACTGCCACTTCACATACTTCATTTAATCGAAATCAAAATCAACATCAAGAACACACCATCAAGAAAGTGTACTCAACTCATCAGTTTAATTGGTTAGGAATCGATTCACCCGATCTAAGCCAACTTCATCATTTATCAAGTACTTCACCCAAATCAGTCAACCCCAAGAATGTTATGCACATAGCCATCGTAGGAGATAATCAATTCGGATTAAGAACATTCAAACAAATCATCAAAAGATTAGTCAACATCCCCAGTTATCTACCTCATTTCAAATCAGCCTTTGGTCCACGACAAATCATTCATCATTTTTATCAAAACCCAACCCAACCTGATTTATTATTTCATTTAGGTGATGCAGTTCAAGATCCCTATAATCTCAATCAATGGCAAACCGATTTTTGGGATCCTATCACTCATCAAAACCCAATCGGATCAGAATTACCTATACTCTATACACGTGGTAATCATGATTTCGATCCGAGTTCTCAAAACGTTTATTCAGGTGGATTACCATTAATCCAAATCGGAGAATTAAACCGATCTCAAACTTCACATTTGACACCTACTTCACCATTAGAGATACCAGGGATAGCAGAAGCGGATCAAAATTTTACGAGTCTTCGAATCCATTCACCTCATCCACACTCTCGTTCAACTTATCATGCTTATTCTCCTCATCCTAGAGTGAGAGTCTTGGTGTGTGATTCGAATTTAGAACCGACGAGAGAATCGTCACCGGGTTCGAAACTTTCGGAAGTTGATGAACACGAACGTTGGTTGTTGTGGGAGATGGCTAGACCTGAGTGGAAAGAAGCTTCGATTCGAATCATCTTGGTTCATGTACCACCATTTGTGGAATACTGGGATCCAACAATGTGGATTGGAGGTCATGAAAACCTTTGGTAAGATTTTCACTTTGATTTCCATATCCTACATTTTATAAACTGACCAAAAGTGTTTTTTCAAAATAGGGGTCAATACGTTCGAACTCGATTCGCTCCACATTTTCATGCTACTTCTAGTTTGACTAGAAGATATGATATTCCACCAGCTTCGATGGTCATCTCAGGACATTCACATGCCTATTCCAGAGGATTGTTATCAAACTTTGTAGCCGATTCGTATTTCAATGTAGCAGGTTCATCTTTCATTAGTCGAGATGTGATCAGAGCAGCTAAAGCAGAACATTCCAAACATATCGATCCATCTTCACCTCAACTAGATAACGGAGTAGTGTATGTGATCAGTGGAGGAGGAGGAGGTACCTTAGACACGATGAAATCAGAACATTGGGGGTTTTATGAAAAATCCCTACCGAAACATCATTTTGGATATATGATGATAGATATGTCAAATACACTTTTGTCTATAGAAGAATGGGCATCAGATTGGCAAGATAGTAGAGATAAACGAATCGAATATAAAAAAACAGGTGTTAGGGTTTATAAAACTATTGGATCACAATTGGTTTGTAATGGAACTAATTCTTCGTGGGAATCTGGTCATTATTCTGCTATTGATAGATTGGTGTTTACTAGTTTGGGAATCGATGGAAAGATTTTGGATCGGTTTGTGATTGAGGCTAATTCTTGTAGATAGATTATTCAAAACACATATTTATATACATATACACATATATCTATCAAAATCAAAATCAAAATCGAAAAATAAAATTGGTTTGTTGATTATTTGAACTTTTTAAGAATCAATGGATTTCTTTTTCCTTTTTTTCTTTTGGATTATGAGATACAAATATCATCATAGATTTTTTTTTCCATATTAAATGTAAAGAAGTTGATCATATTTTTTCCATTATTCCCCATGAAGCGTTGGGTTGAGCTGGGCGGTATTACTTTTTTTTTCTTCAAGAATCTTTTGCATTGTTTTCATTTTGTGTTTGTTAAATATTCATCTTGAATTGTAATTCAATTTTTTTTTGCAGAAACTTGAAACCTTTTTTTGATCAATTTTTACAACGATCCATATTGGTTTAAAGAAAAAGAAATGTTTTGCTTCAAGATAAACTCACTGATGTCCAAACTTCATGGGTGATTTCTTCCTCAGGGTGAAGTTATTTTCTTGGAAAGCTGATTTAATTTTTTTAGGCTTTGGGATCTGGTGAATATTCTATTCAAAAATTTCATCGACATATCAGAGAAAGGAATATAGATTACCAATATCTTCTTTGGGTCATGTGTTCTTCATACATACGTATCATTTAACATCAATCATTGCTCCCAACATATGGTTCTCAAAAGGTTAGATCAGGAGATGGTGATCACTTAGAAAAACTTATAGTTTTGATATGCTTGTATTCACATTTTTGATATGAACAGTAGGTTAGTAGAAAGTGATGAGATCAAAGGTTGATTCTAGCATAAGGACTATTCTATTACTCATAGCCATTTATCTCATTGGATTGAAATTGCATATATTGTATCATGGCCTCATGATGCGCAAGTTCCAAGATCACATGCCTGATACTAATGAGTCATGATATGTAGTATCTTTTGTTCTGGTCACTATCATCAGTATCACCCATGACTAATGACTCAAAGGTTGCCATGAAATATATTTTGCCTTCCTTGTGGTTCATTTACATTTTTGATAGGTATGTATGAGAAATCGGATCAAAAGGCCTGGCACTACAGATCCAGGTGATACCATTTGCATCAGAACCTTCTTAATTTTAGTGGATAGCTTTTCTCAACATGCTCAAGCCCATTGGAGTTGGGTGAGCATAAAGAGCAACTTCACAATGGCTCAAGTCTAACTTGTTGGACTCATAATCACATTGTGTATGATTGATGCCAATGGAGATCCTGATGTGATCAAAATACCATCTCTTTGCCCAACAAATCTGCAGTTTTACTGGGTCCAATTATGTTGTTTTTGGATATATCATTCTCAAGCTGGATATGAAGTTATATACCCACAAGTCAACTTGATGCGCACAATTTGAAGTGTGACAGTATACATAGGTCAAGATCAAGATTCTCCTTGAGGACGTCTTCAAAGACAAGACATCCTTCAAGAGGCTCCACATGACAACACCATATGAGACGATAAGAAGACGATTTCAAGGTTATTAAACCGATTCATATGTCTTTCAATACAGTCAGCTGGGTAGATGAGGAGTCAGGACTCATACTTTCCGACTGATCCACAATCACCAGTGAACCCTAGCTACCACTTATTTGCCCTGCATCATCTTCACAAATTCTTCGTAGCTAATTTCTCCGTCACCGTTCACATCGGCTTCCCTATGCATCTTTTGGATTTCTTCGTCAGTCAGTTTTTCACCTAAGATCCGACATCGAATCACCACCGAACCAGCTCAGTACGTCGAACAAGTTTGATTGGCACATGCAAAGTTTGCATACCAAGGTTTGACATCACGCGTTCGACCTCTTCAACGCTGATGAAGCCATTACCGTCCTTATCAAAAACTTTGAATGCTTCACGGATCTCCGCTTCTGAATCGGTGTTCTTCCTGCAGGCAGTTTGATTCGATTAGATCCTCAAATGATGAGTACCTTATGAGGCGTGAACCTACATCTTCCTTGACATCATGGTCAGAAATTCAGGAAAGTCGATCGCGCCATTTCCATCGGCGTCCACTGAAAAGATTCTTTAAACAATCAGCTACTACTGCTCTGTGAATCAATCTCAAAGATAAAGATTTAGATGCATTCTACGGACCTTCCTTGATCATGTCGCCAAGTTCGGCTTCAGTAGGATTCTGGCCCAGACTGCGCATGATTGTACCGAGCTCCTTGGCAGTGATAGTCTCATCGCCATCTTTGTCAAAGAGGGAGAAAACTTCTTTGAACTCTGAAATTTGTTCTTCTGTCTAGAGAAGGGATTTAACCAATCAGCTTGGATTACCAAAACGTATTTGTCAGAAACCAGGTAATGAGACTGCTAGGTTTCCGATCTTGAGACATGCATAGCATATTTCGCTGATCGATCAAGGCCGAGCATCAAGAGTATTGTGAGAGGTCTTGGCTGAGAACTTCGGCGCTAAGATGCCGGGAGTTTTGGCTGTTGACCAACATCGGATTGGAAAGGATTGAAGCTGACCAGCCTCAAGTTCACGATATCGAGAGAGACAATAGCGACTAGAAAGAAGACTACGTACCAATTGATCGGCCATGGTTATAGACTCTAGAGTTGGATAAAGGGCAGGGAGAATCAGAGTGGTCACCGACCGAATCGGCGTTTAAAGTTGGTACAGACTCAGTCAAAGGTACACAGCATTGCGGGCATAAACGGTTATTTACAACTTAGCATTCTGAGAAGAGAAAACCAAAATATAACAACTTGGCTAACGTCCCCCTTCAAAAGAAGTAACGCTACAAAGCTTAAAGCCTAGTCTATGTATACTTCATTTCTTTCTTTTGCTTTGTTCCTCTCCCATGTTTGTTATAGTTTCTTTCTCTTCAGGCAATTACGATGCGCAAGAGAATATAAACAAACTGTGTAATCTCCGAAAACTTCCATTAATTTAATTTTCAATAATATGTGTAGTTGTTAATTATCGAGAATTAGCCCTCGCCGAAGGAAGACTACGACGGACTTACTCGAAAAGATTGTTTTTTTGGAACAGAAGGTTGTCATCTCTGGAAGAAGGAATCTTGAATCCCCAGCCGTTGCAATTCCCCATTCCCATTTGCCGTAAGGTGGTCAGTCGGTGCCGACATCTATTATCAAATCAATTTTATTTCCTTTGTTTCAGATTCTCTTCAACAATACTTCACAACTGGCTATATTGTATGTACTCAGAATGGGCAAGCCTCTATGAGCCATGAATCTGCAATGAAGAATATCATAGGGATGGCATTCGTGTTGGTTCTAACACAATATGCATGATCAATACCCTCTTGCATGCAATCTCCGGACTTGCTTTGTACAATTTTGTTTTTTCATCAAGCTGATTATTGGACTATCAAGTGATGGTGAAAATATCAAGCTGGATAAGGAGTTGATTCAGTTAAAAGCCCCAAGCAACACTTCCTTTGTTCATCTTGATTCTTGAGCCATTTCACTCCCACAAGTCAACTTGAGATATTCACCTTGAGGAAGTCTTTCAAATCAAGATCTCCTAATTCTAAGAGGCAACTGATTTATAGGTTATTGAATACTGGAAGACGACAAATGCCAAAGAGTATCATGTAGGACTCATTTGCTCAGCCTCAGCACAAATTCTTCATAATCAATAGAACCGTCACCATCCACATCGGCTTCCCCCATCATCTCCTCAATTTCTTGATCAGAAAGTGTTTCACCTAGAATCCGACGTAGATTGACCACCAAGATAGCTCAGCAAGGTCAACAATTACGGTTGGCAAAGGTGAAAGTGACTTACCCAGGTTCGCCATCACCTGTTTGAGCTCTGCAGCGCTGATGAATCCATTACCGTCTTGAGCAAAGACTTGGAACGCGTGACGAATATCGTCTTCTGAATTGGGGTCCTTCCTGTAGGCACCTTAATTCAATTAGACCATCAAGTGATGATTGCTTTATAGGAGAGGCGTGAACTCACATCTGTCGTGCCATCATGATCAAATATTCTGGAAAGTCGATTAAACCGTCTCCATCAGCGTCCACTAGAAACATGTTTTGAGAAATCAGCTACTGCTCTGTGATCCAATCTTAAGATAAGTGCATCTGGATGGATACAATCTACGGACCATCATTGATCATCTCGATGATTTCGGCCTCAGTAGGATTCTGACCTAGATTGCGCATCACTGTTCCGAGCTCTTTGGCAGTGATAGTTCCATCGCCATCTTTATCAAAGTGAGAGAAAGCTTCCTTGAACTCAGAAATCTGTTCTTCTGTCTAGAGAAGGGATTAAACCAATCAGTTTTGATTAGCAAAACGCATTCACCACAGATCACGCAATGAGGCTGCTAGTAGTAGATGTATGATCTTAGATATGCATAGTATGAGTATATTCCGCTGAACAATCAAGCCAAGCCCAAAGGCCATAGTGAGAGCTCTATAGCTAAGAAACTTGCAAGAACTCTTGGATATTGAGCAGTTCTGCTCAAGGAAGGTTGGAGAGGGACAACTCTGTGGCATCAAGAAAAGTAATAGCAAGTAGGAAGAAGACTACATACCAATTGATCAGCCATACTTGTATATAGTTCGGAATGGGAAGGGGGAATTTTGCACACACCGACTGATTGGGTGTTTGAAGTTGTTAAATACGCGTGTCGACGTACTAGGGAACGGGTAAAGTCACAGGGACTATCACAGCATCGCAGCATCACAGCATCACGCAGGTCAAGGGGAGAAGAAAAACCCAATGAATCACCTAGCTTGACAGAAGCCTCAGCAGACAACTTCAAAGATGACAGCATACCCAAGCGCAGTTTCCGTATTTGTTTGTCTTCTTTTGCTTCTCTCTTAGTTCAATATTCCTATTCAATAAATTGATGTCCAGCAAAAGATGCAGAGAATTGTTCTATACCGGTGTCATCTTGTCTGCAAAAAATCACATCCTCCTAATTATCGATATGTAGTGGTGGATATCCTTTGACTTGATAAAGTCCGCTCCTACCTCGGCATTTATTGAGAACTAATCTGTCATGATCTCGTAGTTGGTTCGAAAACCTGTATGACGATTACCGTCTTTCAGTAACCATTTAGCATTCTTTTGAGAAACAACTTGTAACATTAGTAGTTGATGCATGGACATATGGGATATTATTACTAATCAGGAACAAGGCACTATTGTTAGACAACTCGTCTTTGTTACTATCTATATATATCTTGTATCTCTTACAAACTTGTTGTGTTTCTTTTCTCATCAGAATAATTATATTTCTTACTTCCCTTTTCATCGTTCCTATTAAGGAAAACTATTGCCGTTTGCTTTATTTGCTTTCTCCGATTTGAGACGTTTGCTTTCTGAAAAGACTCCGCATTGAGCTTTTCGAAATAAACCTTATTCTCCGATTTGAGACGCAGTAGTAAAGCTTGTTGAGTTTTACCTACAACCCTAATCATCACATTTTTATTCTGATCTTCATTCTGATCGGATAATTTTTTTTGGAAAGAAGTTTTTTATGTCATTGGAAATCATCGACCTTTCTCAGGCTTACATATTCACCAACGGACCGGATCTCAATTTCGCTGCTGATACTGTAAAATTCTCGAGCGAAGATTTATTATCGTCATTGGAAGAATTACCTTATTTTAATTGTCCATTGGAATCCCCATTTTTTAATATCTCATCGACCGAATTACTCGATAATTTCAAACTTCTACCCTACTTTTATTATCCTCATCACAACCCCTTTTCAAATCAACTCATCCCTCACCCTCTCACCGTTGACGCGTTGAATCATTATCTATCTCTTGAAAGACTAGAATACGAGAGACTTTACTTCGAACGACTCAACCGTTATCGAGAAGTTAATCGAACTCCTGGAACTTCATTGGATTCATTACCAGTATTCGCGCCGATCCCAACACCACTTTCGCCCACTCTTTCCCCAAGAAATAGTGTTTCACCATCTCAATCTCTGGTAGATCGATTTCAAGAATTAGCAGTCACAGAATCAACTCCCTTCAGAACTTTCCTTAGGAATCTTTTAGAAAGAGGCCTTCTTATCGATTCAAGCTATTTTTTGGAGTTTTTCGGTTTCACGGATTAATTGATAAAGATGAATCCTTGGCGCGAAGGTAGAGACAGTCCTGCTATTTCTTCCATTTTTGGTAGAGATCTCCCACCGCATCAAGTGCCAGGCAGTGAGCTATCGGACCCCCACGCTATTTTACTTGATTCCCCTCGTCCTCATCTCATCAATCAGTTCAATCGTCTTCCCCATTCTCAGTCCCCTGTTTCTCGACTAGCTCAAGGATTGAACAACTTGGATTTCAGGACTAACAGTATATCTTTTGCACATCAACCAGGTCATCAGAATGCTCAGATCCCGCAACAGCATTTTACCGCACGAATGACAGGTGCAGCCCCAGCCTTTCACCCACAAGTGTTCCAACAACCACTGTCTTTCCAACCGAATCACAATCACCAGCAATACCCTAATCAACAATCTGTTCCCCCAATTCACAATCAATTCGTCCCCAATCATTTTGTCCCACCGCCTCAGGCTCAGTATGTTCACCCTCAGCAACAATTTCAAACCGGCCCCATACCACCTACTCATGCTTATCAAGTTCCCTTGCAACAACCGATCCCTCAAACAACCAATCAGACCGCTCCCTTGCAACGACCACCTTCAAGGATGCCCAATTCGTACATCACAGACAACAGAGCGCCAAAGATCTGTGATAACTTGAGGTTTTTTGGAGATAATAAAGGATTGAAGCAGTTCTTGGTGGAAATTCATGACGAGCTAGATCAAATCACTCTACATGATGATAAAATGAAGATAAATTGGATTGCCCGTCACTTCACTTCGCCTACTTCAACTCCTTCAAGTATGCAAATTTGGTTTATGGGATTACTCGAACGTAATGCATTTCAACAAGGTGTACAAAGTTTGTATGGTAATTTGAAAAGCTTAGATTACGTACTTCCGGAACTGGCATCATTGGCAATTTTTTTGGATGAATTGATCTACAAATTCGGTGACAAGAACTCGGACAAGACGGCTAGAGAAGAATTGGACGCTTGTAAACAAGGAAAGCTTTCGATCATCGACTACAATGCAAAGTTTGAGCAATTGAGTTTGCATGTGAAGAAATCGGAAGAAGACAAGATCCTTCAGTATGTAGAAGGATTGCATCCCAGTATTCAATTGGAAGCTACGAGGATTGCAGGTTGGGTACGGGAAACTGATTTACTTTGCAAGCAGGCAATGGCTCTCGAAGCGGCGGACATACTGTACTTACGATCGAAAGTCGCTCACAATCATCCTCATCTGCGAACACCTGGAGAAAGTTATCGCCATCCTCAACACCATCAGAACCCTATTAATCAACAGACTAATGGACCTGTTCCGATGGACATCAATGTGAATGCGGTATCCTTGGAGAGAAGTGGTTCCAATCCGTTCCCGGTGATTCGACGTATCTGCAATGAGAAGAACTTATGTTACGATTGTTTGAAGCCCTATGATGATGAACACAAATGTTTACGTTCTTTGAAAGGTAAACAGTCGTGTCCTAATCCTTATGTGTGTGTCAAAGAGAAATTGAAGGTGCTCTGTACTTCAATGAAATTACCATCAGATGGACGACATACCTCTCCGACTCAAATCTCAGCAATGCAATTAGAAGAATTGGAATATGCAGCTTTACCGACAGAGGTCATTGAAGAAACTGGACGACTAGTTGAAGCTTATTGGGAAAGTTTAGGATCACCAGCTTACCCTCTTCCTTCAAGCTCTCAAAGTCAACCAATGAGTCAAGATGTCCAAGTAGATGCGATCCGCATTCAATCCGATGTGAACAGACTGCGTCGGTTCTTAATTCCTCTCAGTATCATTTCTCAAAATCTTCCCGTAGCAATCATGGCACTTGTTGACACTGGAGCAAGTGACAGTTTTATTGATGCGGAATTTGCTGACTTACATCATTTGAATCTGAACAAGAAGTTCATTCCACAGAACGTTTTGGGTTTTGATGGAGGTCCGGCGAAGAGAGTGACGAAAGAGTGGTGTGGTTTGCTGTCTATGAATGACGTTGAAGGCAAAGAAACAAGGTTGAAGGCGAAATTAGGAGTGACTAAGCTAGGTGGAGGAAATGACGTTATTTTAGGACTACCTTGGATGGAAGAGAATGGTGCGACGCTGTGGATGAATAAGAACAGAAGGTGGCTAGGTATTGGAGAGAAAGTGTTGTCCGCAGTTGTAGTTGAAGAAGAGTTGGTAGATTTAGCAGTAGTTTATTGTGAGCAAGATTCTTTACCCATTTCTTTCTCCTCTTCCAAAGCTCCGACAGCATCGACTTTTTCCCAAGAAACCCCTTCAATCACCCTGAATCCCACTCTAGCCAAGTTTTTTCCCTTAAATCTTCCAAAAAGTTGCACTCGATACTTACATGTTTTTTCCCCTCAGGTATCTGTATTACCCCCCCACAGATCGTTTGATATCGCAATTGAATTAAAACCCGGTTGCAAACCTCCCTTTGGGGGATTATATAATCTGTCTCCTGATGAGCAAAGTGAGCTCAAAACCTACCTTAATGATCAGTTAAGTAAAGGCTTTGTTCGTCCTTCGAAATCTCCCGCTGCCGCACCCATATTTTTTGTGAAAGTTCCCGGTAAGAAAAACAGACCCTGCGTTGATTACCGTGGTTTAAACAAAATCACAAAGCGAGATAGTTACCTAATCCCGGTGATGTCCTGGTTGCTAAATCAGTTGAGAGGCTGTAAGTTTTTTGCCAAGATCGATCTGAAGGTGGCTTTCAACCTATTACGTGTAGCAAAAGGTGACAAATGGAAGACGGCTTTCCGAACTCCTTGGGGTCTGTTCGAATATACCGTGATGCCATTTGGCTTGGCTAATGCACCTGCAGTCTTCCAACGTTTCATACAGTGGGTACTTCGAGAGTATCTGGACGTTTTCTGTTTTGTTTATCTGGATGACATTCTTATTTTTTCTAAAAATGCTGACGAACATGAATTACATATTGAGCAGGTATTAGCAAAGTTGTCGGAACACAAACTAACTGCTTCTCCTGAGAAGTGCCAATTTTTTGCAAAGGAAGTGATATTTTTAGGATTTGTGATCTCGACCGAAGGCATAAGCATGGATCCAGCAAAATTGAAAACTATAGCGGACTGGCCATTTCCACAGGAGCTCACTGATCTACAACGTTTTTTAGGATTCTCCAATTTTTATAAGCAAACTTTTCCAGAGTCGTGGGTCCCTTGACAAGTCTGACTGCAAAGACGGCGGATGCAAGGAAAGGTTTACTGCTGAAATCATCGAGAGATTCATTTGACGAGCTGCGTAAAATCTTTTCCTCGGCGCCTTTTCTGTTACACTTTGATTTCGATTTGCCTCGTGTGTTACAGGTCGATGCCTCCGGCTATGCGTATTCGGGAATCTTGTCTCAGAAATCGAAAACGGGAGAACTCAGACCAGTGGCGTATTTCTCGAAGAAACTAACGGAAGCAGAACGTAGATGGCAGATCCATGACCAAGAACTGGGAGCCATTGTAGCTTGTTTTCATGATTGGCGCGCTTGGCTCATGGGAACAAAGGTACCAGTCACGGTTTTGTCAGATCATGCTAATTTACGTTATTTCATGACCTCTCAAATGCTGACACCTAGACAAGCAAGATGGGCATCATTTTTAGGAGAATTTAATTTCGAGATTTTGCATACTCCTGGAAAGTCGAATCCCACTGATCCAGCATTGAGACGCTCGGACTTTGTTTGTGGAAAACAGGATTCTGCTAGGGTTATTCTGCTGGGACTGCGAGAAGTCAAGGATATAGGCGTAAATGCAATCTACATCAGCCATCCGGGACATTTCAATATTTCCTCTTATATGCCTGTCGCAGATGAACTGATGGTTACCATCAAACATTCTTATCACGCAGATGACCTGATTGCAGGGATTCATCCTTCATTTTTGCACTTTCTGGACGGATTATGGTGGTGGAGAGATCGGTTATATGTTCCATTGGCTTTGAGGATATCAATCATTAAGCAGATTCACAAATCAACGATCGGCGGTCACTGGGGTACCTTGAAGACTTTGGGTTTACTGACACGTTCTTTTGGCTGGCCAAATGCTCGAAGAGACGTTCTGGATTTCATCAAAGGCTGTAGCAGCTGTCAACAGGTTAAAGTTGATCATCGGGCACCTCAAGGACAGCTTGTTCCTTTACCTATTCCTGACAGACCATGGTCAACTATCGGTGTTGATTTTATTGTGAAATTGCCCATTTCCGACACTTTTGATTCAGTCATGGTCGTGGTGGATCATTTTTCTAAAGTGGCGCATTTTGTGCCGGCTAAGGAGAGCTGGTCTGCTGAAGAACTGGCAAAAGCGTTTGTTGCACAGGTGTTTAGGTTCCACGGTTTGCCTGATGCCATAGTCTCCGATCGAGGAACTACTTTGGTATCTTCGTTCTGGACGAGCGTTTTGAAATTACTACAGATCTCTCCGGCGCCGTCGACGGCCTTTCATCCACAGACTGATGGTCAGGTTGAGCGGGTTAGAGCATCTCCACCGCGGACCTGATCTGTAAACCGAATACAGAGCCAAAAAAAGCTTGCTGGAAAAACTTTGACAGCTGTATTTTATATCCAGCTTCGTTCCATCCAACGCGCAAATCGGTATAAATTTTTGAGTCGTTTTGAGCTGCCTAAGTTGCCAAACCCTCACCCAATCGAGCCACCAAATAGCCATCAATTGGTTGGACAACAAGAAAATAGGACGCATGTGGTGACTTTATCACCACATGTGCCAAATGTACGTCCAATACTGGGACAATACAGTTTGCTGCAAATATTCGGTTGGTACTTCATATTTCGAGTACTGACCGTGTGAAACAGGGTTTGCTGGATATTGAGGCTCACACGGATGGTGAGCTGTTACGTTTCCAGACCGCGCTGGATGGTCGATTTGTGACCTAGACCTGCAAACGTAAAATACACCTTACGTGTATGTCTGAAACGTTACGTTTGCAGGTCTGCGTTGGAGATGCTCTTAATGCCTTATTGAAGGATTATCTACGTCACTTTGTATTGAACAATCAAGACAACTGGGCTTTGTTATTACCACTAGCTGAGTTCTCCTATAATAATTCAGTTTCCAGTTCGACAAAATTGTCACCCTTCTTTGCTTTGCAAGGTTATCATCCTAGGTTCAATTCTTTGACAGGTTTGTCAGGACGCCCAAAAGCGGACGGTTTTGTGGAACACATTCAAAGAGTACAGGAGACTTTGGCGGAGAATCTGACTCAAGCAAAGGAATCTCAAGCTTGTTTCTATAACAAAGACAGACGGATTGAAGTTGCTTACAACGTGGGAGACTTAGTTTGGTTGTCACGACGTTTCTTGAAGACGAAACGACAGAACAGCAAATTGGACTTCAGACGTTTGGGACCCTTTCCAATAGTACGAATGGTGGGACGCAACACAGCTGAGTTGGATTTACCCTCTTCTTTACGACAATTACACCCGGTGTTTAATGTATCCTTATTGATGCCATTTGTAGGACAGTCAAAGGAGCCGTCAATGGCTGAGAAGACATGCTGGGATAATTTATTGATTCGCGAAGAACAGCAGATCAAGACGATTTTGGATTATCGTCGACATTCGTCAGGCATGCATGAATACCTCATACGAATGAATGACGCCTCTCCTTTGGACGACCAGTGGTTACCTCTGTCTCAATTACCTTTCACTTTGGACAACTATCTCGAGCGCTTTCATAGGATGTCACCCTCACTGGGCCCTGGACCGGATGTTGGAGTTTGGATAGCGCGTTCACGTCAACGTGTTGATCCTGACTATCTGGATAATACAAGTAATCTACAGTAAGGCATATTTTTTTCGTTTGAAGACGTGCCAACCCCTGTGTGCCTAAACAAGCCACTCAAGACGTGGGTATGTGAAGGCTGTCTTGGAAAATGTTTTTTTATGTCTGGTAGATGGAAGGTCATAATTTGTCATGATCTTGTAGTTGGTTCGAAAACCTGTATGACAATTACCGTCTTTCAGTAACCATTTAGCGTTCTTTTGAGAAACAACTTGTAACATTAGTAGTTGATGCATGGACATATGGGATATTATTACTAATCAGGAACAAGGCACTATTGTTAGACAACTCGTCTTTGTTACTATCTATATATATCTTGTATCTCTTACAAACTTGTTGTGTTTCTTTTCTCATCAGAATAATTATATTTCTTACTTCCCTTTTCATCGTTCCTATTAAGGAAAACTATTGCCGTTTGCTTTATTTGCTTTCTCCGATTTGAGACGTTTGCTTTCTGAAAAGACTCCGCATTGAGCTTTTCGAAATAAACCTTATTCTCCGATTTGAGACGCAGTAGTAAAGCTTGTTGAGTTTTACCTACAACCCTAATCATCACATAATCCTTGCCGAGGTATGATTTCTGGCACGGAAGGTTGGTTTTTCGTAGAGGAAATCTTATGTCCCAAGCCATTCCATTCTCCCTATATCTTTTGGAGTGGCCAGCTCAAAGCGCCTCCTGCTTCCCTGGAGCTTACTCTCTTTAGCAATCTCAAAAAATAGTAGGAATCTTTTCACGAGAGGGAAAGGTAGTCCCACAAAAATCTGACTAACTCAAGAATTAATACCACCAGATCTGAAATCAGCAAGCAGATGTTTCAGAGAACTTCAAGCTCCTACCTTGGATTACACGATATAACCCCACATTTGAAGAAATATGTGATCCATCCTGACTTATACCTTGAAATCTGGACAGTATCACGATTCACCAAGTCACCAAGCTCAATGAGGCTCAATGACGCCTCTGAGCAAAGGATGAAAACATCGGGTGTCTCAGATCAACTTTATCTCTTTTGCAATTGTATTACCATCAGAGCGTTTTGAAAAATAATACTTGACAATTTTTGGGTCGTGCGACCAGCATGAACAACATCTCAGGGCCGACATGTAAATTGATCCAACCTCAATATACGTTATCAATAAAAAAGACTGATGTCATTGAGCTATAAGGGTATTGAATTTCCAGCTTTACTGCGTTCAATTGAGTCGTTTCGTCAGCCTAGTTATTTGACTTTTAGCTGAGGGTCATGATTTATAGGTGGATATGAAGTGAAGATCCCCAAGCAATGATTTATTGAGATCTTGCTCCCACACTTCAACTGGATGCACACAATTCGATGATGTTGTTTCTGAAACTGGCTGGTATGAGTTCAGCATCTTGTACATAACTTCTATTAGAAAAAAAAGAGAATCAAAAGTGCCAGCACACGATACAAAGCCGATTTAAAGGTTCTGAAGCCGATTTATAGGTTATTCAATACATGAAATTGGAACAAAGCATAATAGTAGATGAGGAGTCACGATTTTTCAATTGATCCTGGCAGCGGATCTGAGCTAGCACTTATTCGCTCAGCATCATTCTCACAAATTCTTCGTAATTGATGGCGCCATCACCGTCCACATCGGCTTCCCTGATCATCTCCTCTACTTCTTGGTCGGATAGTTTTTCACCTATTATCCATCATTTTTTTACCATCGCAGCATATCAGCACGGTAAACCGCGAAGTTGGCACGCGTAATGACTGCTTACCAAGGTTTGTCATCACGTGCCTGAGCTCTGCAGCGCTGATAAATCCGTTGCCGTCCTTATCAAAAACTTTGAACGCTTCACGGATTTCCTCTTCTGAATCGGTGTCTTTCCTATAGACATTGTGAAACGATTGTCAGACAACCAATTCATGAGCATTCTGTGAGGCATGGACCTACATCTTTCGTGCCATCATGGTCAAAAATTCAGGAAAGTCGATCGTGCCGTTCCCATCAGCGTCCACTAGAGAGACGATAACAATCAGCTACTACTCTGTAAATCAATCTTGCAGATGAACACTTGAATGAATCCTGCGGACCTTCGTTAATCATGTCGCCGAGTTCGGCCTCAGTAGGATTCTGACCCAGACTGCGCATGACTGTACCGAGCTCCTTAGTAGTGATAGTTCCATCGCCATCTTTATCGAAGAGAGAGAAAGCTTCCTTGAACTCGGAAATTTGTTCTTCTGTCTAGAGAAGGGATCAAACCAGTCAGTTTCGATCAGCAAAACGTATTCACCGTAGATTACGTAATGAGTTTACTAGGTTTCTGCTCTCAAAAACTCATAGCATATTTCGCCGAGAAATCAAGGCCAAAGATAAAGGCTACCGTGAAAATCCGGCTGAAAATCTTGGCCATGTGGTGCAATAACCTTTGGATGTTGACCAACTCCACATTGAAGAGTATTCAGGCTGACGAGTTTGTGGTATCGAGAGAGATGACAGCGAGTAACAAGGAGGTCACATACCAATTGATCTGCCATGTTTCGATTTGAATAACGCTTTCGTGAGGTTGGGGGGAAGTAAAGCCAGGTGAATAATGTTGAATGACAAGTTCAGCGTTCAGCGCAAGTGGTGAAACGATCGGTGTGGCTGGCTATAGGCGCTTTGCTGTTCCGCTGCGTCAAGCACCGATATCGACATAATTGGCCGGTCGGAGATTCGAGATCCGAATATCCGGGCTCGGGGTAAAATTAACCATCGAAACACAACTCACGAGTAAGCTTACTCACGAGTCAGTGCAGCTCGCGAGAGCTCTCAGGTCACGGCAGCGCTATCTTCGTGAGTTCACATTCACAGCGACTGCTTTCCAAGTCTTAACACGCGATTCAGATCTTCTCTCACCATCAAGTTCGAAATTCCCGGAGGAAGGGTCGAGACTCGAGTCAGATGAAAGAACCAAATCTTGTGGACTGGATACAAAAAGTGTTGTAGTCACATGACCTGGGCACGACTGCGGCACAGACATCACGTGCCAAAGTCAACAAAACCCATTCCTGTCGGCTCCGAGATTCCACATCAACTGTGTGGAATCCAAGCTACTTTCAGACTTATGCGTTCTTGTGCTTTGTTTCTCTACTATAGGTACATCAACTGTGTGGAATCCAAGCTACTTTCAGACTTATGCGTTCTTGTGCTTTGTTTCTCTACTATAGGTTATGAGCCTGCGCTCACGGTTTGAAAATCGATCTGAATGAAAACGAGGAATCGAGATTACACTATAAACCCTCGATCACCACCTAAACGCAAGAGAACTATACGCAAGAAGCAAACTCTATCTGATATAAGCACTAATACTGAATATCCACAAACATCTTCTTCATCATTCTCATACAATCTATCAATATTACCCCCCTTACCACCGTCTCCGTTAAACTTTAACATATCAACATTACCACCTCTTCTTGATTCGCCCGTTAGTGAACTACAGTCAAACCTGTGCAATTGCATAATTTGGGTGGAAGACTTTTCCTATGCATTTTCACGGGTTATGCAATTCCATTGTCTAGTTTGGCGGTAAAAAGTATCAAGATCTAGGAATTTTTCTATGCATTGTCACAGGTTATGCATCTGCGCAGGTATGCATTTGCACAGGTTTGACTGTACGCAACTCACTCACACCATCTAATTCCCCGCCCTGTGAAAGGCTTTCATTTCATACTACGTTAATACCACCTGCAGAATCATCTGATCCTAATTTTCAGGATCGTTCTACGTTATCGGCATCCAACTTTACGCCCGAATCGGACTTAAGTCAAACTTTCTCACGACTATCACTACTAGATACGAATACAGTATCTCACTACTCAGTTAATCGCATAGTAAAAGAATACCCCATACTTTACGAAAAACCCTTCAACGTCCAAATCTCTACTTTTGAACCCAATCCTAGAACTTTTCCGAAACGTTTTTTCGTATACAACGTGTACAGCAAGATGTCTGAATCAAAATCAAAATCTACTGAGGAATCAACAACTTCGTCAACCACGAACAAGGCAAACATTACCTTAACTGCTCAAGATATCACTGAAGCTAAGGAGAACCTGGGAAATGAAATCAAATTCGATCACTTAACTACAAGCGGTTCAAACTTCGTAGAATGGAAGAAGAACACAGCGCGTGCTATCAAAGCATTGATAGGAATCAAGAACTACTGGGATGAAGAACTGCCGGTACTATCTTACCTTGACCAAAAACGTGACGGCCTAGCCACCAGTGTCATCAACAATACGATTCATATGAACCTGAAGAACGTGACAGATGACTCTGATACGGCTTATGAAGCGATGAAGGCCCTCCAGAATCACTTCCGAAAAGGTGGTCGCACTGCTCAGTTTGCTCTATTTACTCGCCTCATGAACCTACGTCTAGACCTACAAGAAACTGAAATGATTAGTCACATGTCAACAGTAGACTCAATTGTATCCAAAATAGAATCTACAGGATTTGTATGGAACTCTGAATCGGTAAAAGGACTGTTTTATCAAATTGTTATGCCTCCGGAGATGACGAAAGAGATCAACAAAGACCTCGACAACAAGTACAACAAGACCAACCCGAACTACAAATTAAAAGACATCAAATCAGCAATCCAAATTTATCTAGCACGTGAAAGAACTGCCTCAGAAACGATCATCATCAGTAATCTCAGCACTCAGATGGAGACTATGTCAATGAATACTACGCCTAGAAACCAAATTCATAGCAGACAATTCACTCCAAACCGTTCGACAATGAATCATAGCTATCAATCATCTCCTGTTTCACGTTTCAACTCACCTCGTCCAACTCCTAAGATCGATCCAATTAGATGGCAAAGAGGGCCTGCGGCCTGGAGTAGAAATGAGAACGACAGGAAGAACTCTGCGATAGTACCACTAGAAATACCTAATAGTGCTGTAAGTGGAGTGAAGAAAGGACTACTTCAATGTTTTTTCTGCGGAAATTTTGGCCATGTCTATAGTACTGGTGGTTGTAAATCTTACAATGGAGATGGCGAAAGGACTGGTGCTCACTGGAGAGACTGGAGGAAGTTGAGTAACGGCCAATGGTACAGCTTAAACGCACTATTCCCGAACAAATACGTCCTCCCAGTCAACCAACGCTCATCATCGACTCGACCTAACGCAAACTCAGTTGAAATCATGAATGAAGACAATCAAATGAAAATCGAGGCATCTGCTATCGATCTAGACTGGTCGTCAGAAGGATTTGGTCTCATCGATGGAGATGATGAAGTACCCACTGAGTATCTTTTTGATGGTGGAGCCACCGATGCCGTAAGCAACGATCGCTCATCATTAAAAAACTACCAGCCATTACCCAATCCCCTTCCTATCAAAACAGCAGCTAATGATTCCAATGCTGTTATAGTAGGAAAAGGCGACATAGAAATAGTCACGGATGATGGTGAAGTTGCAGTAATAAAAGACGTATACTACTGTCCTAAAGCAACGATGACAATCATATCACCTGGTGCATTACTGGCAAGTGGCGCAAAGATTTCAATGAAGGATGACAATGATTTTAAAATCAAATTAAAGAGTGGAAAGGTCTTATATGCTGTTCACAAAAATAGAAGATGGTTTATTCAATCAAGAAAATTCAGAAAATCAAATTGTAATCTCTCTAAAGTTTCTCACTCTGTCTGCGCAATGAAGTCATCACACAAGTTATCTCAAATGTGGCATGAACGCTTAGGACATGTCTCTGTAAAGAGAATCAAACGTCTGTTCAAAGAACATGAAGAGTATGGTTTACCCAATGTAAAACACTCTCAGGTAACTTGTGAGGATTGCCTGAAAAATAAGAGCACTAGATGCAGAACCCTAGGAAGCACTAACCGTGAACCTAGAGTGATGGAAGTATTGGTAACTGATGTTGCAGGTCCTTTCACACCTTGCCTTACAGGTGAACAGCTCATGGTAACTTTCAGGGACGTGGCGTCAACTTATTCCAAAATCTGCATCATCAAGCACAAATCGGAGGTACATCAACGATTAATCAACATGATCAAGAAATGGGAACGAATGACGGATATAAAAATCAAGACTGTAAGATCAGACAGAGGAGGAGAGTACGTAGGTGCAGGACTGAACAAATGGCTGAAAGAAAATGGCATAAATCACAAATTCTCTAATCCTTATGAGCCAGAACAAAATGGAAACGCGGAAAGACTCAACAGAACCCTAGGTGAAATGGCTCGAACATTACTATCATCAAGTAAACTCTCTAACAAATTTTGGAACTACGCTTACCTGACTGCAGCATATATTCATAATAGATTACCTAACTCAGTCACCGTGAATAAAACACCTTTTGAACTAATGTTTAACCGCAAACCACAACTCGACATTCTACGTTCTTTTGGAAGCGTTGCGTTTGTACGTATTCATCAAGGACAAAGACAACCTGGGAAACTGGAGGAGAGAGCAAGGAAATGTGTGATGGTTGGGTATGTTGAAGGAGGAAAAGGATGGATGTTCTATGACGAAAAATCAAAAACAGTATTTCCCTCAGCAATAGCGAAATTTCCGTATGAAACAGAGTCATTACCTCAAGAAGTGAATGAAGGAGAGACGTCATCAAAATCATTAAACCAAATACTAAATCAGAATAAAAATAAGAAAGGTAGCATACAACACATAATCAATGCTTCAAAATTAGGAGACTTTGTCGAAGAAATCAAATTAGATAAACAAGATGCTGCAGCAAGTCATGCTCTGAGTGGTGAAGACTACTTGAAAATCCTGAAACCACCACGATCATTCTCTGAAGCGATGAAATCAAATGACTCAAAGAACTGGAAGGAAGCATGCGACACTGAAATGAATATGATGAGCAAAATGAAAGTGCGGAAAGTTGTAGATAAAAAAGAAGGAATGGTCCCAATAGATCTGAAGTGGGTTTTTGCGTACAAGAAGGTAGATGATGAAGGTAATCCAATTAAATTTAAAGCTCGTCTGGTGGCAAAAGGATTTAAACAACAAGAAGGTATCGATTACACGGAGACCTTCGCACCAACAGCAACTTTCGCGGGACTACAAATACTACTCACGCTAGCCGCTTATCAAAATTGGCCTGTACACTCATTCGACATTACATCAGCATATTTACACAGTGACATTGACTCATTAATTTATTTCTCAATACCTACGGGGTACATGGTAGAAGCTAGGAAGAAAAATCAGGTTTTAGAGGCATTGAAGGCTTTATATGGAACTAAACAAGGTGCTAGATGCTGGTGGAAACACATCGACAAAATTTTAATATCAATGGGATTTAAGAGTAGCCAATACGATCAATCACTCTACATCTACCGTAGAGGAAAGGAGACGTGCGTCATATGGTTACACAGTGACGATGGTTGTGTAACTGGTAGCTCAACTGAATTACTTCAAGAGATTCATGACAAGATGAAAGAACAATTATTAATCAAGTGGGATACATCTTTAGATCAAATAGTAGGTGTAAAAGTAGAACGTCAAGATGATGGAAGCTTTATACTATCTCAACCCGGCTTAACAAAGAAGATCATTCAATCATTTCTCCAGGATGGAAGATCAGCAAAGACGCCAATGAACTTACAGAAGATCCCCAGCTCACCCACAGACGAAGAAGAAAAAGTCAACGGTGAAAAATATCTATCAGCAATCGGTAGCTTGAACTATTTATCCGTAGCGACACGACCTGACATTACGTACGCAGTGAACTACTTAGCTAGATTTTCCTCAGACCCCAGACGACAACATTGGAATGCGATTGAACACCTTATTAGATATCTCAATACAAATGGTGTACAGAAGCTGAAAATCAAACCAATAAAGTCTAAAGTCGACACCCCGTTACACACTTACGTCGACGCAAACTGGGGAGGAGAGAGAGCACGATCATCACACGGATACATCACATACTACCTAAATTGTCCGATATTGTGGACATCAAAAAGGCAAACCTGCGTAGCTTCATCGACTTGTCATGCTGAGTACATGGCCATGGGGACGGCATGTAGAGATGCAATATGGATCAGAAATCTGATTGAAGACATTACCGGAAAAGGCAACATCGTGAACATGCATTGCGACAATACATCAGCAATTCACGTAGCTAGTGACAACTCATCGAATAAAAGAACACAACATGCAGACAGAGAATTTTATTATATCAATGAGCAAATTTACAAAGGCCGAGTATTTCTCCATTGGATAGACACCAAATCTCAACGCGCCAATATCCTAACGAAACCACTTGGACCAACACTCCATGATCAGGCATTACGAAATCTGAGACTCATTCATCACGATATAAACAAGTCAAAACAAAACATGTCAACTGTCACTTCCGATGTCAAAAAATATCGCATAATTCCGTTTCTGGTGGAACCGATTCCGTAGACGGCGGTCGACTATACCAGCACAGCTGGGTGAATGTGGTTGCTGTCTCGGGGGAAAGAATTCCAGATAACGAAGAAAACTATTATGTTTTATGTGTGGAAATGAGGAGGAATAGTGGAGGAGTTTTTTTTCTTTTTTGTGCGGATGTTTTATTGTTTATGATTTATTATACATTCTTTTTTTCATTTTTCATGGGTCACTTTATTTGTTCTTTTTCTTAAAAAAATTGTGCGCTTTTATTTTTTGAGATGTTCTTCATTTTTTCCTTATTATCTTTTCTTATGGATGTCTGTGACTTGTTGTGGGGGGGGTGTTGTAGTCACATGACCTGGGCACGACTGCGGCACAGACATCACGTGCCAAAGTCAACAAAACCCATTCCTGTCGGCTCCGAGATTCCACATCAACTGTGTGGAATCCAAGCTACTTTCAGACTTATGCGTTCTTGTGCTTTGTTTCTCTACTATAGGTACATCAACTGTGTGGAATCCAAGCTACTTTCAGACTTATGCGTTCTTGTGCTTTGTTTCTCTACTATAAAAAGTGCTATATATGTACTACTTTTAAGTTTTCAGGATGAGCTTGTTTAATCAGGTGATCAAGAATTGTTTGGTGCAGAACGTGCCAAAATCTTAATGTGTTTCATTGCCTTGTGTTGCCCCAGATTGCATTGGTACACAAAATGCCCATTGCTGTGATCGCAGTGGATGAAAAGAGTCAAATGCCATGCCTTTAAGACTAGTCTTTGCAATAAAAACTTATCAAAGAGCCTAGCTCTAACTAAAAGTATACTTCTTGGAGTTTTTCATGGGTGCATGTTTCCCTCATGTTATATCAACCGACCCATTTTCAATTTTATTATGGACAAGTTCTATGCACCAGACTTTCATGTCAGCAGAAAATCCCAGGAAGACAAACTTTGGACTGGATCAGATACTATAAATGTTTTCTTTGAGGTGATAAATTTGAACAACGGATATTGTTAGCAGGGTTCAAAATAATTGAATACTCCAATTAACATAGCTAAATGGAAGACTTCAAAGTGAACAAACGGTTACTTCTCAGGTATGTTTTGAGAGTTCATATGTAGACTTTGAGCAGAGTTCAGTGACCTTTCCCAAGAAGGTGTGTCATTTTGAAAGCTCTCAGCAGCTTTGTCAAGTGTTTGTGGGTGAAGCTTTACCTGACAATCTATGATCTAATTTCTCCAAAACTAGTGTCTAAAGCTATGATCAAAAACTTGGGTATTGCTTTTGTAAGTCATGGTTACAAAGGTAGTTTGACAAAATCACAAAATGACTATGGAGAAAGAAAACTACTTTGACTGGTGACAATTACACAATACAGATACAATCTTGAAAGAGTAAGAACTTGCTTTGAGTCTATACATAGTCCAGCCATTCCAGCATTGCCTGTTGCTCCGTATTGAAAAGTGAAAGGAAAGCCAAACAAAAGAAATAAGAAGTTGGCTACCACAAGAGGGACATAAACCCTCATAAACCAAGCAAGAATTGGTACAAGTTACCCCTCTTGGGCCACAATGAATCACACCCAAATGTGGCCAGTAACCCTATGACAGAAGCGGCAAAGGAACTAGCCGCATTTGTCAAATTGAACACTACCATTGGCAACAAGCCCTAGGCATACAAGGAAGCTGCATAAGAACAAAATGTCAACCACGAGATGGCCAAAATGTAACAGGGAGTATAAAGAGAGCTCTCCCTTGAATCAAAAAATGAGAGCTCACCTTCTACCCCACAAGTTTACAACAAACCCTTTTTTCACCTGAACAAGTCAAGCTCCAAAGTCCAATACTTGCAGCTCCACTTCCTTGAACATTCTCTTGTTGATCATCAGCCTAGAAGCGTTGAAACCCCTTCACTTTTAAAGAAAACCCATCCTTAAATGATGAACAGACCTTCTTATGATGAATACAGGAGATTTCCCCAAATACTCATATCTGAAAACCAATTTTAGAATTGTAACTTTTTTGTAAAGGGGTCCAGTTTGGGATTACTAAAGCTCATCGTGTAGATCTCATGATACTGATCGTCAATTGGCCTAATATGAACTACTTTTGGTGCATGATGAATAGGTTATTGAGCTGTAAATATTGATAAAATGAGTTGTAATGTAAATGTTGCTGCACATGTGTATGTAACTTACATACACACGTGAGTTCAATATGAGTTCAGGTATAGGCTTTTGAGCCCCTGGGCTCCAGTACCTGACCACGGTCATCGACATAGCTCCAGATGTGTCGAAAAGGTGTCCAAATCGGTTCATGTAGGCGTATAAGCAAGGGTTGGGGATCATGATGTGGCGTAAATCTGCCCAAAGTAGAAAGGGCATCGACCCCTTGCTCACAACTACCCGAATGGTGTTCTTGGCCCTGCAACACCCGCAACAGTTGCGGTCTGCGGTGCTACATGTGTGTCTGCGTTGCTCTTAAAAAAACCCATTTTCCATGGGGTAGGAAGCTTTGCGGGCTGTCACTGCCAAAGAGCTATGCTGTGCAGCAGAGTAGCTCCGTGTAAAACCCGCAACGCCGCGCCGCGCAACAGCAACAGTGAGCGTTGCTTACCCGGGGTTGATGTAAGCGCAAAAGTCAAAATCCACACCATTCTCTTTGGTTCCTTTTTCACAAATCCTCGGTTACTAGTGGTTTAAAGGTTGTACATCATGAAATAGGACATCCTGAGTTGCTGGAGCTATTGCACATTCTGATCTGACAAGTTTTGACATATGTAATTAGCTGAAAACCTCCATTTTTGACAATTTTCACACCTTTTTGCCTCTTTTCATGTCTAATATTGATTTCTTCTTCATCATAAGATCATTGTTGATCATTCAATTCATAGTTGCCTTAAAAATCATTAAAGGACATTTGGCAACCATCAAATCCCTCAATCACATCATTACATATGAATAAATCTCATAGTACCCTCATTCACCATCCTCAAATCCCCCTCTTTCTTGAACAATTTCACTCCTTCTTTATCAATCCTCATGATTAAAGTTGTTGCTGAATAATATCATCATACTCTTTCATATTTTAACCTTTGTGAACCATCAAATCAACTAACAATGCCCTAAAAACCATTTCCCAATCTTTTGTACCCATATTTTTGAATTTTTCTTCAATTACATATGATTTAGATGTGAAAGGAAATGGTAAGCTTTTGGTAAATGTCTCTATTGAGAAATGATCACATTTGATAGGTTTGCATCCAATCTGGGATCCATTTAAAGCTTCACTTTTGTTGGTACATATTTGCTTCAAAGCCTTCAGCTCATCTTCCTCAGCAACCATGGTAGGCCAGTCCTTGCCATGCTTTGGGTGAAATTTTGACATGAGAGGTAGCTTCCACCATGTTGGTATCCTTGTAGCACGTTGACATGCACACACGGAGAGTTTGAAAAAATCAGAAAATCATATGGTAGGATTTAGACTGATATTGGTGTTGTATACCCTTTGTGAATGATCATTTGACTAAAGGATTTGGGGGATCCTTTGTCAGCAGTTGGGATCAACTGTGTGTCCACATCCCACTTGACAAAAGGAAGATGTGACTATTGTGGATACCTCTTTAAAGGATCTTTCAAGTATGTATCAAAAGTCTTTGGTGTGTGCACATCAACGTGCTACAAGGATACAGACATGGTGTTCCCCAGTTGTGTTGTCAAGTGATAGCTACAGGTTGGATTCTTTTGAAGTGACTTGAGAGGTTTTTGGGAGTTTTGGGATTTTGGAGAGCCAGAATTGTGCATTGAGAGTCAATTTCCAGAGGCATCTTGGTGACTTCAGCCAACCCTGAAGCCGGGTATCCTGCTGGTTTGATGCAGTCACATATGTATGATATGGCCCTGGTCAAGCATGCAAGCATGCAAGCCTTCAGCGGTTTGCTGCTGCACTCCAGAAGGCTGGTATGGTTGCTTGTGTCAAGACAGTGGTAACTCCAAATCAGTAGCTCCGCACCTTTGACTCCATGAGTCTGTAAAAGCCAGTGAAAAATCTAAATTTCCATAGTGAAAATATAAGAAAGATGTCTTTGATGGGGCTGAGAAATCATTTTCAGAATGAGAGTGTAAAGAAGTCTTTTGGAATTGTATTCAGTTTCTCAAAAAATCTAATTTTGTGGCCGGCCGTAGATCTTGGGCCAAAACTTATTGTTATCATAGTCTTGACACAACCCACTATAGAAACTCCAGGTGGTAAAAGTTCAAAAACATCAGAGAGATTGAAAAATTGGTCACACAATCAAAATTAAAGACAACTTGCCAATTTCCTCAAAGTCAAGCAAAGGCCTGGACTGCCTCACCGGATTCACAGCCAACAAATTCACCCAAAACAATACCTCGGATCAATGACCTCGGACAAGATATATATGTCCGAGGATATGCATCCGATGATGATTCTGCGACCCGAGGTTTGGCAGTGCCAGAAGGCTGGCCCAGACCCTACCCGGCCTTTCCGCGGGTCTATTCGCTGTAATTTGATATCGGGTCAGGTCCTTGCTGAGTGGACAGGATCGGACCTGGTCTGGTATCTAACTCTCACTCGCAACTGCCCTCAACCAATCAACAGCCTCAACGACCCCTGAAGTGAAGAAGTATCGACCAATCATTAACTCAAGGAACGGGCCACAATGGGAAAACTCAAGTGCGGCTTCTTCACTTTCATCGAGGGCATTATTTTGTTAGAAGCGCAAAATTGACGAACCATCTCAACGCAGTATCCTCTATCACAAGAGTTACCACGTTTATAATGTAGGTGATATTAATGAACCTACTTATAGTTGAAACTTGACTGATTCTCCCATTTCCAAAGCGCGAAAATGTTGAACGAGTCAAAAGGGATGAACTCAAAGCAGAACTTGAAGCCGAAGCCAAGACTCAATCGACGATTGCTGCCAACTCTGAAGCTCGCTTGACACTCCTTCGTTCTCAAAAGGATCAAATCAAATCTGAGAGTGGCAGAAAGAAAGAGAGACGAATTGAAAAAGTGTTGGAGGATCAGTTGAAAGGCAAGAAACCGGCATCGCCACCTTCAAGGGATGAGCCATCAAAGCGCTCGACAGATAATTCATCCATCATTGATCCCAAGAACGGTCACATCAACTTTTGGTCCTCCCTCGAGAATCAGTCCACTTCGAAACAATTTGAAAACTCCAAGATTCTTGATCAAAATGAATCGCATGTAAGAGATAGGAAGAAGGCGGACGAAAAATGGGACGCAATGATCACAATGCGCTTGGATCGACCGGCTCATGAGCTCAAGCCATGGTACTCACAATCCGATCTTACAAATGGAGAAGACAAGAAACAATCGGAACGAAAGATAAAAGAACGCTCGCAAGTCATCATCTTACAGACTATCGTCATTTTCCTTCAATGAGACTGACCAGTTTCTACTGTTACACAGATCCAAAGACAAGCAACTGAAGAACACGCACGATCCGCTCTCATCCGTTCAAACCTATCTCCATCAGCGAGAATCTGGTCGTTCTGGTTCTTCCATTCTACCTTCATTACCAACTCGCCGGAGCTGGAAAAAACGTCAAGCTTCGAGATCGCCATCTCCTCCCATGTCATTGAACAAGCGTACATCCGACGACGTGGAATCCGATGAGGACTGTTATATGCCTAGTTTACCCCCGGTATCCCATCCCGAATCGTCTAATTTACCGATAGTGCAGATTGTGCGAGTCGATTCTGATGCCGAGCGACGTAAAGCACAAGCGCTCATCGCTTCACATCGTGCACCGTCAGAACAGGGCACCCCCATGGCTCACGCTGATCTGTATAACCGCAATGAGATGCGAGAGATCATGGCAGGCAAAAGAAGAGGTGGGGATAACCAAAGGCCACGGGACAAGAGGACCAGATATTGGGATTCGTAGGGTCAGCGTGATCCGGAATGATCCGTATCTGTATCTTTTCTCTCTGTATCATTAGCAGATGTACCATATGCTTTCATGCGTTGATGACGCAGCGTGTTTGTTTTTGTATGAACCAGTGTTGGGAAATTTGATAGACAAGCATTGGTGATGGCTATGTACGGAGATATGAGAGGATGCGGTTTGGCTTGTCAACTAGCTCGCTGCCCTGCCAACGATTTCTCTTTGAAACAGTTCTTCGAGGTCGGAAGGGTCGAAAGCCTATGCTGTCTCCAAAAATTCATGTGCCGGTTGCCTCTACCTCGTATGTACAACCAAGCTAACGCACAAGGCGCCCCAATTCTTTTGAACACCGACCTTCCTTAGCACGTTTTGACCGCAGAGTGACTGCCAGAGTTCAAACCTTATATCTCTGCAGTCTAGCTTTCATGACCCACAACTCTCCATCACATCGTTTATTGAGCCTTCCTCGTCACGGGACACCTTGCCGCACATTTAAATTCGCGATAGCAAGTCCTAGCAAATCTCTCGACTAGACAAGGAAATCCTTGATGACAGACTAATTTTTGAAATCGAGTGTATCTGCGGAACGCCCGCGTTCGGACTCGGAGGACATCAAGTTCACCAGCAACTTGGCAGACTCCTTCCGTCCTCTTAAGGGGAGATACGTTCCTAATGACGCGCTTAAGCCTTACATGCATAATTTGGGCCGTTGGGTCCGGCTTGCAGATATTTGAAGTACATGTAGAATTTGAACTCGAAGCCAAAGCGTGGCATTATGAACGAGGTTTCTCACGCTCCGTAGTCTGAATTTGTGTCTTTGAGATCTTCACTTCTTTATTTTCGCCCTTCGCAAAGCCGTCTTTCATTATCACTGTGTCTTTTATCTTTTATCCCGAGAATACCCTTTTCAGATATCATCGTTTGTCTATCTTTCCTCGGTGTTGAATACTTGCCTTTCGGGTGCTATGATGGCACCACCATGCTTAAATCTCGCCATCCTGTTTGTAGTTTTTGTTCTCCACAAGACTGTCATCAGCCTCCTGCGAGATGTGAATGTACAGGTACGCAAATTTTTGTTATCTATTGTGGCCGTATCCATCACGCTGTGCGCCATATACTGATGAGGTCGTTTCCGAATCAGTTGTTTCAATGGTCTCATGTCGATGTTGCAAATGAGTGCGAATCTCACCTGGGACCCGCAGGCTATCGATGGGCTCAGGTCTCACCCCCGCAGGAACACATTGAAGGGAATGCGTGGTGGGTAGACTACCAGGTACCACACACGCGTTTTTCGAGATGTCTGCGGGATCTAACGAGATTACCATATCCACATTGTAAATCTTAGCCTGTGAGCTACAACCTGTACTCCAAACGAGGTACCCCAGATGAATTCGCGGACATGGTCAAACGTTGCAATGCGGTAGGGGTGGGGATCATTGTCGATACGTGCGTATCGGCATCATTCTACTTGGCCTCTCACATTGACTCTTACTGACCTGTGATCCGTGGCTACGCACCAAAGCGTCATGAATCATATGACAGCGACCAACGTTACAGCCTTAGGAACAGCTAATTCATCGTATTCTCGTTACTCATATGAAAATGTACGTGGTCTATTTGTCCAGACTCGAAACAACATATCGAATGCTAACGCCTTAAACTTCCGACATAGCTTTATAACTTCAGCGACTTTCATCATTGTGCGTATTTTGAAATTAGTTCACGGTGCTCGGTCACTGATTCAAACATCGATTTGCACAATTCAGGTGGCAGGAATGGGAACGACGGTGTCTACAATTTCACAGATCGATATGAGTAGGTAGAATTGTGTGTACTGTCTCAGCCCTCCCATTGACTTCAGTTCCTTCTGAACCGTTAGAGTGCAGAACTGCGAGTTGCTTGGCTTGGCTGATTTAGCTACTGAGACCACTAAGGTGCGAGATACTCTTGGTGCCTACCTTGAACACCTGGTGTCGCTCGGGGTCAGTGGCTTCCGGCTAGACGCTGCCAAGCATATGCCCGCGTCCGATATCCAAGCGATCCTTCAGCGAGTTAGCAACCATGAAAGTTTGCACGTCTCACAAGAGATTACCATTGGGAGCAATGAACCCATTCAGCCAGAAGAATGTGCGCAAATTTATCGGTCATATTTGTTGTAAGATGTGTTCTCAACTGACATTGTCATGTCTATATTTAATTTGGTCGACCTTCAGACGTGATAAATGGGAACGTACAAATTTTCCAAGGAGCATCAGATCTCGAGCGGCTCTTCAAGGTACTGCATTGAAGCGATTAATTTCAAGTTTTGGTCTAACATTGCTGACATTTTGGAACTTTATGGAACTTTATTGTATGAAGACGGACGGCATGGCTTATCTGGTGCAGGTTGGTGTCATCGCTCTCTTTTCCTCACTCTTGAGGATCATACCATTCATGATGTGATTGATTCCGATAAAACAAATGCAGCCATTAGCTTGGGGACCGGCTTGGGGAAAAGGGTATGAATCCTCTATGTTCTTGCCGAGATTTGGTTCAATCACACTCGAGGAATTTGCAATGACAAGAAATGGCCTTTCTGACTTGAATCTCTATTACAACTTTCTCCGCCCAAAATGCGCTCAATCCAACTTATCTAGCTACGTCTCAAGGTTAGCCCACCAATCACTCAGGTATTGCTGTGTAGAGTGCGTTAACTTAACTGCTCTCTCAATTTTATCCTTCATAATTATTTATGCAGCGATCAAAGTACAATTTTTGTCACAAACCATGACTTGGAAAGGAACGGTGGATCTCTTTCTCCGGCTGATCCGCGATACCTCTTGGCCAACGTTTTTATCTTGACGTGGACATATGGGCAAGTAGACATATTGAGTGGCTACAACTTCACTGAAACTGGGGATGGACCGAGACAGCTTAGAGTTGAATGCGGACAGTTAGTATTTTCATGGATCAAACTGGGGGTCTTTGGTGCCATCACTGAAGACTCTAAAATCTCAGATTTGGTTGGCGCTGTGATCACCGTCACCCGATGATTGTTGGCGCCGTAAAGATACGCGGAGTATCAGATTCAGAGCCAGTTGAAAATCTCATCACCGTAAGCTCAAAACATCGTGCTGAATTTGATGTAGACTCACATGCAAAGTTTGATCGTCATCATATTTCCAGTCAGGTGTCAATAGGACTGCTTACTCGCGTGGTTCAAGAGCATTTGTTGCTCTGAACAATATTCCTGAGGAATGGATTTTTCAATCTGGAACAGTGATTGGTATGAATGAGGGAAACTATACAGAGTGAGTGCCAAATCTTCATTCAATTATAGACCTTGTCATGAACTAATTCTATCTAATTTGGCTTTAGTGTCTTGGGGTCAAACAGTACCACGGTACAGGTATGCCCTCAGGGAAAATTAATCGGAAACTTGGTGGTTCCAGGCTTCTCAGCTGTGGGAATTCACCAGTAGAAGTAGCATTTTGGGATACCCTTGAGTGTGGAAAGCTACATACCTTGATGATATCCTGTCAGCTGAACCTTGTGAAGCATCTCAGTATACCAGAAGAGCATAATTACAACTACCTGCGCGGGTATTCTAATGTCAGTGTCTGCTGTTATTTATTTGAAATCAAGTAACTGCCTTTACCTTAGGCATCATTGCACTTTACAAAAAAATACTTTTCATTTTGGAATGGTCCAAACCAGGGATGCAGCACTGGGTATACTATACTTCAACTCAACGGGTCAGTTGATCACCAAGGGAGAGTTTTGCACAGAGTCTGGTTGTACAAGTGGGACTTTATGGGAGAGTGAGGTACAGATGAATTTAGGGAGCAAGCCAAAATAATACAAATTCCTTCCATGTTGGCTTGCACAGAGGAAATTCCCTTAGCTACATGAAAACACTGCCAGCATATGTAGATGCCTTGTGTTAAGAAATCCAAGGCATCATCGGAGGCAAATCCTCAGACAGACCTTGTCCAAGGTTTTTGCCCAAGGTATTTTTTTGCCCTGAGAATTACCTTGGATCAAAACCTCGGGAAGCTTCTGTCCGAGGTTTTGCATCCGAGGATACCTCAGATTTTGTAATCCAAGGTAAATATGTTGGCGGTGAAATTTAGGGCATTGGCTGTGGATGATTTTGCCCTAAATTTCCGTACAACATGTTTTACGCCACACAGCTGTGGATGCTCTTACAGTCCCAAAACCAAGTTGCACTCAACACCCAAAATCAGTTGAGTCTTGTACTCTAACTGCAACTTATGTATATTGGTACTCAATTTGAGTACCCAGCTTGGGCCTCCAGACACTGAGTTGAATCTAGTGAATTGTGAGATTTCTCTTTGTTTAGGTCAAATGTATATATATTATTTATTAACAAAATAACATACAAGTAAGTAAAATAGAGCAAAACATTTGATAAAAGAAAAAGAGAGAAATTGAATACCTTAACAAAAACTACCCAGATAGAGATTCAACTTTATAACACAAATTTTAAATCAAACAAAGTAGCCAAAAAGGAGTCCACATTGATAGAGTGAATTTTAGAGTTAGATAAAGAGAAACCTCAATGATAATGATTCATAATTATAAGATCATAATTGGAAATGATTATACCGCCTTCCTTTTGGCAAATCGTTTGTGTTTGATTTAGATTCAGCTTTGTAGTTGAAGAAGATTGTTGTGTAGTATTGAGCTTGTTAGGACTAATTGAAAAGGACACAACTTTAGACAATCAAAAAGAAAATGATGACAGAGAAAGAAATGAGGATGATTGATAAGATCTTTTGGTAAAGAAGAAAGAGAATCTTCTGAGTCAAACACAATCATATCATAATCTTGAAAATAGGAACATATCAGTGACGTCATTGTACATCAATCAGTCAGCAACGTTAGTCAGCAACACACAAAGTCAAGGCACACAGCAGCACAGCATCTAATCAGGACAAGGCAGTACATTATTGATCAAGTCATAGCAATGGCAATTTCACATATCATAACATTGAAGCATACCCAGTGCTGTATGATGTATCCCTGGTTTGGACCATTCCAAAATGAAAAGTATTTCTTTGTACAGTGCAATGATGCCTAAGGTAAAGGAAGTTACTTGATTTCAAATAAATAACAGCAGACACTGATATTAGAATACCCGCACAGGTAGTTGTAATTATGCTCTTCTGGTATACTGAGATGTTTCACAAGGTTCAGCTGACAGGATATCATCTTTCCTTAGTAAACATATTGTTCCATTGACTATAGTTTCAATCTAGATGCTTTACCTCCTTTGTTGACTTTTGTTGGTGAAGGATGTGACATTTTAGCCATTGATGTTGGTAGATAATTGGTTCAATCACAGCTTAAAAACATCATAAAGGCTGGCAAGTACATTATAAAACAAATAAAACTTGTGAAAGGACTTCCACCTTTATCCCTTCACAATACCTTTATGTATGAACCTCTTTCTCCCTGTCTATATATGTATTGGATGAAGGGAGACTGAATTTTTGCCTTTTTAAGTCAAGAGTGGACTAAATTCAATTTTAATTACACAAGAAATCCCTTGCCATTTGGACTGCTTTCAAAGTACATCCAGTACTGGAGTTCAAGTGTGGCAGAGTCTTCAATGGTAACTAGTTGGGTTAATTCAAAATACCCTCACCAGAAACTCGCCTGTAGTTGTTATCATCAAGACCCAGCCTTGGTTCAGATAATTACAACATTTCCTTCCAAAATCACCATGGGTGGAAAAATTTCATTGGAATGCCATCATCAAGCTCTACAGTATGCCATGCCAAACACCTGAGCACTTATGTACATACCTAATTACATAGGGTGATACAGACTGTACTATCACCCAATGGGGTTCGATACCCCCACCCAAGATGATACATCATCTTGAGAAGGATCTCGAGTGGGTTCAAAATTCCTCTAAGTATCACTTTCCTCAAGGCAAACCTGATTGCCACTACACGAGGCGCTGAGTCACCACACCCACCCAACAAAACCTCTACCCCCTCATTCAATTGATCATACCCGCTCAATTAATCATAACCCGTACCTCGCAATCCATACCCACGACTCAAACCTCGTGTACCCGGACCCAAGGCATCTTACCCATCCACTAAGCATCTCTTACCCACTTCAACGTACCTACCCGTCCATGCGACAACGTACCCGCAAACTAAAATCCACGCCGGACGTACCCATTGCTATTATCTCTACCCAACAAGTCATAAACCGCACCAACCTAATTCACTGACACCCTATGATTTTTAACATTATATTGGAACCCTACCCCCCTTTGAAACGCTACTCGTATTCAAACTGCTTGATGTCTCCTTCCAGCTCAGCTGTCACAACAAATCCATACGAACTAGCTCATCCACCATCCAAAGTCAACGTCGCACCCATGTCAACCAACCATCCCACTCTCCAGCCCCCACCGCACAACCTCGTCGCACCAGACCTACCCGAATTCGGGAATCTACTCCAACAACATGCTGCGGCCAACGGCTATAAGATCATCAGGCGATCATTGTCGCCGTGTCGCATCCGCTATGCCTGCCATCGATCAGGCCCAAAGCCCTCCAGCACGTCTAGGTCTCTCAAGACCAATTGTCCCTTTTCCGTCACTGCCTACAAAGTAGTAGAAACCGATATAGCTCCTAACCTCAAGAACATCGTCCTCACCGATCATACGACCACCGCTCTACCCCCAGTTGGTAGCTGGATGATCGGCATCAAACATCCAGGCCACAATCACCCTGCCATTGGCTCAGAAGTGAGATTTTTTCTATATCCACAACTCCAACCAACACCATTCTAATCAGATGACTTGTCTTAACTTTTGCGCAGAACACAGATACACAAGATAAATCCAAGAGTGTCTCTCTCATCAAGCAACGCTCTGCCTCGGTCAGTGAGGATCTACGCCTCCATAGATCCTCACCTCTTCCCTTCCTTTATTATGCTTACTTTAGGCTTGCTTCCATCTCTAGATCTCGAAGAAGTTATCACAGCTTACACCAAACTCTCGCTCACAAGCCCTAGGTGAAATTGAACAGATTTTTGACAAGTATTTCCATACCGGTGTCACCCTTCATCCACCCTCACCCTCGTCCTCCATCCCATCTCAACCACCCATCCCAGACCCGCCACCGGCTCCTGTTTCAGAACAATTCCCATCAGTAGAACCTTTGACACTTCTACCTGATTCAACATCAAGCGCAGTCCTCTCTACAAGAGCGACGTGCAGTTCCACGATTGTCGAAGAGAAGCGTCAGAAGAAAGCTCTGAGTCTTCCTCCCAACCCCATCAAACATCCTCTCAAACCAACTCTTCATCTCGAATCAACATCAATTTCAGCCCATTATCCACCTGCGACCTCCCACATCAAGATAGTCAAACGTAAGCGAAAGAAGAAAGACTCAGCTCTCCCCCTGGCTGCGTCACATACGCCAAAACCACGCACCCCAGGCACCATCGGACCCAACCCAACCCCTTCCCTTGCTCAAACTGTCACATCTAAACTCTCTACGATCGCACTACATGCTCCAATACCTCCATCCTACTTAGTGAGACCGATTGCCCGAACCGACATCCAACACACCCTGGAACTCAAGCAGTTGGTTGATTATGATTCGGAGGGCTTAGTAAGCACTCATTTTCTATCCCACCTCAGAATTTTGCATATTAACGTTTGTCCATCCATCTTAGCCTACACCTTATGCCGCGCCAGCAACCCCTGTCACTAACTCTCTCCACTCGGATGATTCCCTGGCAAGTCATTTTGACAACCTTATGATCTAGCTCAGGTGATAACTTTATAACTTTGAATTCTCGCAGCCATCACCCAGTTTGATTCTACCAGATCCTCTGCCAACAGGACCGGTGCCTTCGGTGCGCTTTGGAAGTTAACTTAAATCGATCAAATCTTAAGATCCATTGCATACTGATCTTTCTGTACTGATCTTTCTGTAGTCTTTGAATGTACCACAGCTGCCGCTTCCTGAAGCCGATGAAGACGCCGATGCCAGTTTTGATATGGGTGTGTTGCTCCCACCACCCATGGTATCTACAGATCAAGCGCATGTGTCTGTCACCGCCCGCCCTACCGCTACCCCATCTCTTCTGAAAGCTGTGAGTTCCAAACTTGCCACTATGGATTCCTCTTAAATACAGTTGCTTACAGTATGATGTACGCTTCCAGAGCCCCAAGACCACCAAATCAAAGGTTGATTCCAAGCTAGTCACAGCTGGGAGACCTCCAGCAGTCCGTAGGTCTCACAGGAGGCACAACAATAATGTGGATATTACCTTAGATGAAGAAACTGGTCCTCGTCGGTCTAAACGGACCAGGAACACCAAAAATGTGTGTAAGTTCATCTGGTAGCTTTCCCCGTATTTAGTATTATCGTTTATGATGTGTACCAACTTCCTGCCTACGCCACTCAGGATCATTGTGTGCCTCAATGGCTACACCGATATACCATTTTGGTATCCGACCCAAAAGCTGACGGCCACTGTGGATACCGAGCTATAGCTATCAGCCTGGGTCGGTCCGAGGACGAATGGCTATCGGTGCGCGAAGAGCTCATTGCTGAACTGCGATCAAAGCACGACTTCTACACTTCCCACTTCCAATCTCGCAAACGAGGGTACGGAGGCATTGCGGAGCATATTGCAGCTCTTCAAACTGACCGCGAAGAGGTCCTTCAGTCACCCAACCTTTGGCTCAATTCGACTCAAATGTTGTATCTCATTGCAACAACGTACAAAACTTTATTCTGTGTATACGACGAAGACCACAGCTTTTCCGCTCTACCCCTGGATTGTCCTGTAAATGATAATAACCCAATTTTTCTTTCTTATCACCATCAGAGCCGACACTTCCTTTCTCTTTCTCTATGTCACCCTCAAACCACAGTCCCCATTCCAAAGCCCTGGACAGAGTGGTTCAACCTTGCTCTACCGGAGGCTACCAATTGGGTAAGTATCTTCGAGGACCAATTCTGTATGTTTCAAGATGTTATAACCCCAATAATATGTTCCCTGAAACCGCTGTTGTATTCTTCCGCCAATAATGTTATCCATGTGTCCGATTCTGAATAGTGCTTTCCTTGTCTTGATTTGAAATGTAAACCTTTCGAGCTGTCATGTTCGATGTGTTTGAACCAGATACCGTATATTTATGATACCATACCCGATACCGTACACATACCCGATACCGTACATATACATATACACTGAACCCACAGGTAAGCTGGGATACTGTGTACAGAAGTTCCAAGTGGTAATTGATCTAAAATTTGATTATTTTTTTTTCAAACGAAACATTTACATACATACCTGCTCTTCCAAAACGTAAACCTCTCAGCCATCACCCATCACCACACCGACTCCACATTTTGATACCTTTTAATACTCCACATTTCAATAGCTTTTAATTCCACCCAGTGGCTTTTGTTCGCCTCTTTTGACTTCACGCCGATCGATCAATCCTCGACCACAGTGCACGTCATTCAATATATCTTCTCAAATATATCATCACCTGATTTTGACGCCCATATCCTCTACCTCAAGCCGTGTCAAACCAGCCAATCAATCACTCATTCAATGCCGAGATTTGAAGGAGTCCACCAAGCTTTTAATGCCGCCAAACCATACTGGACCAAAAAACCCAAGAGCGAAGCTCAACGGAAGCACTTTGCTTGCATGGTGGCATCTGTCAAAGCACGCACGGCCACCCCGGCTGCTCTACCTACGCCCAACCTTTTTCCGGATCTTGATGGTGGTGAACTGCTGAACGCTGATATGGACATCATCGATCAACCACCTCCTTCTTTCATTGAAGACATCCGGCGTGCGAGGATTGCAGAAGAACAAGAACAACGAGCCATTCTCTTAGCACGTTTGACACAGGAGATGTTCTATGCGTACATAGAGTCTCATTTCCAGACGTCTGATTGGGGTGATCCTGCCAAGTGGAACGTTGATTTGAAGCCGCGCTGTGGTTGTCCTCCTTCATCTTGGCGAATCCGTGCGATTGACCTGGTTGACCTTCTATGTAAGATGGCATTCATAACCTCTCCTCGTGCTTGAGATACATACACTGACACTCAATCTTTTTCCTACAAATACCCAGATCGTAGCAAGGCAGAAGTCAGGTTTTGTAGATGCCAAGCCAGCGATCAAACTCGCCTAATCTACATGGGGTATATTGGTGGTTCTCCAAAATACCCAGAAACGGCATTCTCGATCCGGCTACTTCGTTTCTTCCATGTTGTTTGGAAGTTTTGCACGGTACGGGTGGACCCTTTTACTCGAGCCCTGGACGAGTACCTAGACGCTTTCAATCCGTTAATTCTGACCAAGAACGATCAGGTTAGTCATGTATTTCAAAATTTTACATGTTTCATCTTTGATATGTTACATATGTTGTTAAGCTGACGTACTGTGGTTGGTAGCCTCGGCGTTGGCATACACCGTTTCGATGGGCAATTGACGCCTATCGAAAGATGCTCACTGCAACCAAGAGAGCTCTGGATATCGAACTGGCACTAACACCCCGGGAAAAGCTTGCTGAAAACTGTCCACAATGTTTTGGCCCCCCGGTTCGAAGTCTAATTGCAGGCGAACCAGACTTAGTCGTGTGCTTAGATGGGAATTTCCAGCACAGACGCCATATTGCAGCAGGTGTCAAAGCTGCAAAGACTGCCACCGACATGCCAAACAGCTTCCTGCCAGAAGCGCAAGTCACAGGCATGGAACGACGACTAGCTGGCCATCCTGACAATGACATCGTAAGTTCCATTCCTCTAATATTTATCCTGTCTCTCCACTTCTTTCCAAAAGGTTAACACTCTATTTGTTTACAGGATGCATGTGCTGATCAACACACCGCCGCTAATGACACTTGGGGTAAGTCTCACTGGGGCGGATGTGACGAAATGGGCTTAATGGTAATGGCGTGCCGGCATGATCACCCCTTACGTTTTGCAAATATCGTGCAGAGTGGTGAGAAGTGAGTGATCCCCCTTGCTATACCAGCCGCTGAACTGACCCTTTGACCCTTTCACGTTTGGTTATTGGACCCGCAGGCTACACTACAGCTATGCCTTGATTGAATGGTTCCTTGTTTTGACAGAGGATCAAAAGGTTGGTTTCCTATACGATATAGGTTGTACAATGGAAAAGGGAATTGCAAACGTAAGTGACATTTGCAATTATCGTTTCCTTCCAACAACTGAATTTGGACATGTAGCGCCGCATGTTTGAGGAGGAACGGCGTCAGGAACGACTGAAGTTTGGAACCTCTGTGTTCCATGCATACGTCCATCGCTGGACATGCCAATTGCAGTGGAATCCGAGGAAAAATTGTGGTTGGGGTCTTTCTGACGGTGAAGGATCCGAGCGTGTTTGGTCCGCATTAGACTCTTTGGTTAGCTCGGAGAGATATTCAACAAAACAGCATCGTGTGGATGCTATTGACATGCGAGCTGCTCACTTCCGTTCAAACCTTCGACATTCGGCTGGTATGTCCAGTTTTGTTTACTTTGTTTCTGTGTTTTGATTACGTTTCCATGTATCAGTTCATTAGCTGATCATGACTTGGTTTCAGTTGTATCCATGAACCACAAAAGACTAGACGCAATTAAACGTCTCGAGGAGGCGTCGCAAGCTCTGAACAACATAGCTGTTGCTCACCGCGAACGCGACATTAACTTCTTTGAGAATAAGTGGGAAGAACAAAAAGCTCGGCAGCTGGAGGAGATGATCGAGTCTAAGGCAGAAAAAAGGGAATGTCTCGAAATAATGCTTGGTTTAGAGGAAGAGCTGGTTCAGGCAAGGTAAGTACAGCTTGTTCATTATGATCTATCCATGTTTATTCATCTCAATTCTAAACAGGGATCGACTCAAGGCTCTCCAAAACAAGCGCCGAAGAGCAAGGGCCAATGCTGAAAAGAATGAGCTGATGTCATTGCCGACGTCAGTGGCTGACATAGAGGAGCAAATCGAATTTATGGCAACAGCCCTTGGTGGTGAAGAGTTTCATAACCTGGTTGGTGCTACTCGTAAGTCCACAAACTGCGAAGTTTAAGATTATATAGACTGATGACGTTTATATCTGTCTCCATCCAACTAACAAAGGCAACCAAGAGAATGCGGTCCTCTCTTTAGCTATTGCTAGGGGGAACCTCTACGAAGCCAAAGTCGGCCTTGTGGAAGCCAGGCTACGTCGTCATTGGCACTCTGGTAAATCTCATAAGTCATGTCTATATTCCTCGCAATAAATATCTAATATATCATGACGTGATATCTTGGTCTACCTATGCAGGAGCCCGCCAACAACAATACATTGCGCGCCATCTATGGAAGAGAACTAGCGATGTTTGTGTGAAGTATAATACATATAAAAGGCAGGTCTATAAATATGTACATAACTATCCAGATGCTAATGCACCACATCTGCCTGAGCTGGGTCAGATCATGACAATGGAAATGGATGATGATTTCTGGAACAGAGGCGAACTCGAACCGGAAGCAGGCAAAGAGGGTGAGATCAATCGTTTAGGCATTAACAGTTTCTTAGCTCAACGTAGTTCGCGTGAAGAGCTGCGACGAATTGCTCGCGAAGCTCATCAGATGACCGCTTGGGCCAACATGTACTATGATCGCATAGTATCCCTTAAAAACCGAATTGAACAAGGTAAGAGCCTTTCGCATACTTGTACTAATATCTTACTAATATCTTGCAATCTCACATATATGTGGTAGCTGTTGGAGCAGACCGAGTTCGAATGTTGTCTCTGTATAACATTGTGAAGAAACAGGCAAGCAAGCTATGGAAGAGATGGGGCTTTGACCTTAAAAAGGAACTTGAAGCAATGTCCACCTATATCAATGTGGATAATGAACTTTATTTAAAAATGAAAGATGATTTTGAGAAGGTAACTGATTGGGCAGAGGAGGAATGGAGAATGATGGCTGGGAAGCCAGTCATACGTGCTCAGGAGCCAGACATATATGAGGAAGATGAAGATCTATTATATGAACAGTTGTACGACAATTTTGGGGAACTCAGAGTATAACTTATGCTGTCTCATTCTCCAAATCCAAAGAATATCATGTCATTCTTTATTGAACGCGCACTTATCATTCATTTGAACACACAGTTCAAATGTGTGACCCTGTGAGCAGCCCTAATGGTCAGAGGTCTTAAGGAATTTGTTATCCTTGGCGTGCTTTTGAGATATCTTTTTCTTGGTTAACCACCCTCAAGATAACAAGATAAATGTCTCAAAATCGGTTGCATAATATCAAGTAGAGTGTCCTCCTGTGCAATGTGTTCATTGCACAGGAGGATCATAATTTTGAGATTCAACGTATCTTTATCGCATGATATCAGGTTGTGTGTCCGTCATGAATTAAATGAAGGGCTTTGTGTTCATTGCGTATTTATTACACCATGTAGGAAGCACCAAGGTTGTGCTACGTCAGTGGAAACAAGGATTCACATTAACTATACGCTACATCACTAAATCACTACATCACGGCAAATATGTAGTTCATCTTACTCCTTCTTTGCCATTTTAGTCCAAAAGTGGCAACCTTGGTGACTAATCAAGCACTAACAATTCATTGCATGGGCGGGTGGATTCCAATCACATTCATATAACTGTTCACTATGCTGTTAAGTTCAATATAACAATGTGCGACTGCATGACAAGGCGTAAACACGATGGTGGTAGATAGGACATCGCATGCTTATTGAAAAATGGGGGTACAAATTTAAAACCAATACAATATACGCTCCTTGTTATATACGCTCCTTGTGGAAAAAGTAGTTTATATGGGAATCGGGGGTACTTATTACTTTTGCTAAAAAGCTTGGTCCGATCGAGAAAAAATAAAACAGAATCAGACCCAGATTTTGCCGCAGCAGTCACAACGCAGCAGAGAGAAGGATTTTGGGGGTGCTGTCTGGTCCTGTCGGCTCTGGTGCGACCTCCCTACCATTCCTCTGGTCCATCACCCATCTCTAGGCTCTAGTTCCCCATCACCTTGACCTCTTTCTTTGCACACTCTTGCAAGATGACGTTGTCAAACTCTTGGTAAGTCACTTTACGAGTTACATTAAAATATATCTCTTCTTTATTATCTATTGGTGTGCTTTCTAACAAACTTTTTGTATTGTTCGATTCAGATGACCATCCTCACAACACAGTCTGATATCCGTGATCGTCTTGCCTAGCTTTGTCTCACCATCACCTCACCAGCTCTTTCTTCCCACACTCTTTCAAGAAGGTTTTGAATTGTTGGATTGATCATAACGAGCATTTGTTAACAAATCAAAAAAAGAAATGATGATGAAGTTTTTACGGAGCTCACAACTGCTGTGCTAATGTGAGACAAAAGCCAAGTTGAATGAGATGTATCCTAATATCCTCAACTTGTCCGGTGCCAAGCTATGCTGAATAACAATTGGATATCTCATGAAAGATATCTCAAATGTGAGTGACTTTTCAAGGTAAGCAAGATCATCAGAAACATCGACTGGTTATGACCAATATCAAAACCAATCAATTCCTGATTGATTCTCCTACAAGGCAATCCTATGATCGCAACTTGAGAACAATCTCAAATCTCTTATGAAATAAAACCTAAGATCTCATTGGGTTTGAAGTCAAGATTAACAACGATCTCATTTTTTTGAAGACATTCCACATCCAAGAATCGATTGATTTTGCTCGGTCAAAACCAATCAACCTTCCTATGCTCCTACAGAAAAGATTGTGAAAAATCTCAGCTCTCTTGTGTAATCTAGAGACTGATTTCACAAACAAGATCAAAATCGATCGCTTTGCTTGTGATCCTTTGAAGAAGATTGAAACGATTTCAGTTTCACGCCAATCTTATCTATAATTCCTTGTTTCTAATTTTTATACGATGACAATCTTCTCTAACTACAATTCATCTAATACAAACAAACGAGCTCCCCTTCAAATATCTGAAAACCACAATGATGATACAAAATTCCGTTCGACTGGATTTGACCTCGTAACTAAAACTTGTGATCTCGAGACAACAAACTTTGACACATTGAATCCAAAATCGATAGGGTTCAACTTGGGAAAGTATGGTGGTATGTATTGTAGAAGGATACCTAGAAATGATATTGGGGATCATCAGTAAGTTCAATTAATTGCACTGAGGAGACAAATGGGAGGAATTGAAGTAAAAAAAGTGTACCTTTTTCCTACAGATCAGCAATGGGTTGGCCACGATTGATAAACACGTTTCCAGGATGTGAGAAGCAGCGAGCGACTGAGTTGAGTTTAGTGATGAAAACAAAGTAATCAACAGGGACAGGGATTTGAAGGATATGACTGGGAGCTCGCACCAGAGCCAACAGCACCCCCAAAATCTTTCTCTCTGCTGCGTTGTGACTGCTGCGGCGAAATCTGGGTCTGATTCTGTTTTATTTTTTCTCGATTGGGCCAAGCTTTTTAGCAAAAGTAATACCACTGACGTGATCCTAATGCCTGATGATCACCGTGTTGAAAATTGAATCATGGGGGTACAAATTTAGAACCAATTGAAAATTGAATAATGGGGGTACAAATTTAAAACCAATACAATATACGCACCTTGTTGAAAAAGGAGTTTATAAGGGCCTCGGGGGTACTTACCACTGACGTGATCCTAATGCCTGATGATCACCTTGTTGAAAATGAGATGATAATGTATTATAAATTTAGGAACTTTAAATTTGTCCGGCGTGATCAATTCTTGTTTAACAGTGTGTGGAACGTTATAATCCCTTATAATCTCCTTCGCCCAAATAGAATCAACATCACAACTTTGTTTTTGTTCAGCGTTTGTTTTTGTACAGCGTGAGCTACATTGGTTTGACACTGTCGATCGTGCCATATAATCTGCTTATTGAAAAAGGATATGATGACCTATCATAAATATTGCCACTTTCCTTTTGTTCAGCGTGATCATCTTTTGTTTAACTTGGTCAACTGTTTCCAATTTTTTGTAGTCAACTCCAATAACATCAATCGGTGCATCAATCATCTTTCATAATTTTAATTTTCTGGAGTTTCGTTCGAGATTGAATAGAACCAGTGCAAACAAAGCAGCACCGGCACCAGATAAGCAGTAAGTCTTCCGTCAATTATGATTACTGGTATCGTCAACGCCAAAACCAACATCACTTATGTCTTGACAGTAATGACTCAAGAAAGTCCTTACAAAACATAATCGATCACGAACAGATTCTGATGGTCAAATTATCACCTTCACGAAGCACATCACTAGAACAATCAAAGCATGGATCATGACATTATCTGATTCTCCTTACAACTTACCCCAACCGAGGTTCATAGATGCGACCAAAGATTTCAATGAAGTGTTATTAATTTATATAAACATAGATGACCGATTAATAACTCGATTGTTTTATTCTAACAACAAATTAAATCAAAACCTTGCTCCAATTCGTTCTAGATTTATTAGTTCTGGGTATTTAACCTCCAGTTTGAGGGCTATATTCAGCATGTGATATCTTATCTCGAGTTCAAGAGTTGTTCAACAAAATGAACAACTACCTTTGAGATCTTTTGACAATATATCACTAGGGTTTTTGGGCTATTTCTCTTAGTAAGATATATATATTGTTTGTTTACATCTAAATAAGATGTAAACAAGCTATATATATCTATGTCTTTTGGCCTATATATTGGAAAGAATCATTTGTTCAGAATATATATATATATTCATGTCTCTTGGCCTATTTATCTTAGTAGGATTTGGGCTATTTCTCTTAGTAAGATATATATATTGTTTGTTTACATCTAAATAAGATGTAAACAAGCTATATATATCTATGTCTTTTGGCCTATATATTGGAATGAATCATTTGTTCAGAATATATATATATATTCATGTTTCTTGGCCTATTTATCTTAGTAGGATTTGGGCTATTTCTCTTAGTAAGATATATATATTGTTTGTTTACATCTAAATAAGATGTAAACAAGCTATATATATCTATGTCTTTTGGCCTATATATTGGAATGAATCATTTGTTCAGAATATATATATATATATTCATGTTTCTTGGCCTATTTATCTTAGTAGGATTTGTGAATTTGTTTGTTTACATCTTATTTAGAGATACAAGATGTTTACAAAATATATATTGATGTATGTTCCCATTTGGCTAGTTATGTTACTCTTTGTGAGGATATTTGTTTCCTTCATATATATATATTTACTTATATGGGTGGTAGGGAATCTTTCATCCTTTGAAATCCTCATCGCACTACATATTTAGACATACGATAATAGGGAACATACATTGATAATCAATATATATCGATGTATGTTCCCTTATGGCTAGTTATGTTAGTCTTTGTGAGGATATTTGTTTCCTTCCTACATATATATACATATATGGTTGATAGGAATTCTTTTTTCCTTCGATTTCCTCATCTCACTACATATTTAGAGATACAATTTGATTAAAATCGTATCTCTAAGATATATATATATATATATGGTGATAGGAAATTGTTTTTCCTTTGGATTTTTCACCTCAATACATATTTAGATATACGATTTGAACAAAATCGTATCTTATATAAAGTTTCATATATATTAATATGAAACTTCATATTAACACTTGAGCTACTACAAGGTAATGAATCTTTGTGAAAATTTTCATTTAGGAATTTGTAATTCCTTCGGATTGTTCACCTCAATATATATATATGAGGATTTGTGAAACCTCATATTAACACTTGAACAGTAAAAAGTACTGAATCTTTGCGAAAATGTTTCCCAAAGGAATTTGTTTTACCTTCGGATTTTTCAACTCAAATCATATTTAGAGATACAATTTGAACAAAACATTTGTCAAACTTCATATTAACACTTGAGCTACTACAAACTCACGCAAGCATAAGTGCTCTAGCATAAAGCACTCGGATGCAATCGATAGCAGGAAGAGAAATTCATTACAAAGTAATTTCGTCATAGAATAACAATAAAAAGAAAGTCGCAGAAATCATGAAGGTTGTAAAGCATGAGTTACATAGATGCGAGGATCATTTCTTCCAATTTCGATCCGTTAGTATCAAAAAATCCTCCACATCCCTAACTTTGCGATCACAGTTTGATGTATGGTTCCACTGTTCTTCCGTTCCCTTCTTCACACTTGCTCGTGCCATCTTGTAGGTGATTTGCGATGAACACCCAAGGCGGGTGTAATGCACACGCTTGCCTTGACTGTTGAACTTGATACCTTCTTTAGAAGGTATAGTATGGTGAAAGGTTGATTTACCATTCCATGCTATTTGCACGGCACACTTACCACCAAACTTGATTGCAACTCGGTACTCTGGAAAAATAAACCACCCGCCTTCAAGGTCATACCCTTCAGATTCCGTTACAATGCGACCACTTAGACAATCTATCGGGTACCACAGGCAGTAAACCTTGCCTTTGTCATTATCGGTATGCGGCTTGTTATAAAAGTTACCCAGAGTAAATGCAAAGTTCGCTGAGAAGTCGTAAGGGCCGGATGGTTGAAATTTCGAGGTGGAAGCCAGTGGAGGCACATGAAGTCGGTTGAGTTGTTTGCGAGCCACAAGAAATCCGACATCACAAAACTCATGGAATCGTCCACCAATGTGAGCGCTTAAATCAGCAAGCTTTTCCATAAATTCATCGTAAACTGAGCGAGATGAACCTTTGGCGGGAAGATAAGGCGATATAAGGATGTCGCGCGAATAGCCAACAGTTTGGCCAAAGCAATGCATTCGACCGTGGATAAGAGCACCATTGGTGGTTATCGTTTGCTTACGTTTCTTCAACTCATGAGACGCATTTAAATCATTTAGATCTGGAGAATTAATGGGAAGTAGAGGGACTTCGACACGTTTGCGCTTCTTGGTATTCCTTTTGGTTACAACTTCTTCTGAATCAGACGGGGGAAGCGAGGTTAGAGGTGACGAGGACCGAATGGTATCTACTAGCAGCGAGGGTGTGACAGGTTCATCTAGTTCAAGTTGCGCGTAGTCTTGTGCATCGGAAGGTGGAAGGGAGGATAGAGGAGACGAAGGTAAATCGGGATAGTAAGAGTGGTCGAACTCAGTGGAGTCTGTAGCCGAAGTTTGTGCGAATTAGTATTAGCAGAGGTAACGACATTTAATGCAAGGGAGGTTGATGATAAAACTCTCTTACTTGCTGGAATAGGTGAATGGACCACGGGTGCAGTTGATTGTTCAGGACTGATTGTGGGAGTCTGCACCGAAGGTAAATCGGGATAGTGAGGGTAGTTGAATTTAGTGGCTTCTGTAGCTGAGGCATCTGGAGTGTGAAATAGTGTTAGCAGAGGTAATCCCATTTAATGCAAGTCATGTTTGTGAAAAAAATGACATACTTGCTGCAGTATGTGAATGGACCACGGGTGTTGTTGATTGTTCAGAACTGATCGTTGGAGTGTTCATCAACGGTTTAGGGGTAGGTAACCTCTTAAACAGCTTGGTAGACATCAATATGGTGTCTACATCATTTTCATGCTCCTTACGCTTATCTGGCGTCATTGTTTCCAAATCTTCAAATGAAAAAGTAAAAATTAGTTCATGTGAAGTCGTATCAATGAATTGACCCCTTCCATGGGTTACTATCTTATAAGTATGATGGATGATATCCATCGTACGTTCATAGTCTTCGTAGGGTAGCACTGGATCATTAACCCTATAGCAATTGCAATCGTATGTTTTGTTGATGCGATTAGCAGTCTGAGCAGACTGGTCAGTCCCTTTTGCCGCCGAGTTCTTCTTAGCGCGTGCGATATGTCGGCTGTGAGAGATCAAATAAACAATCTAAGTTGGTATAAAAATGTGTATAATGTCAGACGATACGCACGTCTTTCCTGTTCGCCGAATTTTCCCAGTAGCGAGGGGGGGGTTGGAAGGAACATCCTGCATTCCTTGTTCGCGATATAGGTCAAGTGCTCTTCGCCTATAAATGAAGGAGTTAGCCAAGGGTATTGGTGTTTGACCTTTGGGGGTGTCATACGAAATGGGACTTACACAACTCCACCTCTACCTTCATTGGGTTTGTGCTGGCTGAGTATAGCGTATTTGCAAGCGGGATTAAGCCAACAATTGGACTTTGGGAATCCGTCCGAAGCCAGGTACTCGTGAGGGACATGAGCATAGGATTTTTGCATGGTAAAAGGTTGAGGGAGCTAAGATAATGGTGACGCGGGGGACAGATAATGGAGAAAGTCAGTGGGATTCTAGGCACCACAGGTAAACCTTTGCGTTACTTACATCAGCATCTGTATAACCTGTTTGTCGCTTAGCATCGATGCCTTTTAAAAGGTCCGATAGAAAGATGACTCCGGGTAAGGATGTGTCTTCGCCTTTACTTTGATCCCTGTGGACGGTTGGAATGGATGTGGTAAGCTTGCTGAGATGTCAGAAGGAAATCAATACTATGTACCCTTCGCCCGTATCAAATTTGGTCCTCTTATGAGTGGCCCATCCGGGTTCACAGTTGGTTGTCATTGTACCGTAATGGCTGCGGCGGAAGCGTATAATGTAAATATCTCATGTTAGCATAAAAACAAACCCCCGCTTGCTGATTACGATAGATGGAGAAGAGAAATAAGAAAGGAAGGAGGGCAAGATCATGCAAGCGAGGAGTGGGTAAGTGGGTTTGCAGGTTGTAGTTCAAGTTGCACAGGGACTATCGATGCCAACCTGCCCAAACCCACTCCGTACCGCTATTAGATCATTTATTATTCCCCTAGCTGGAAAGATAAAGGGAAAAGATAACAGAGGGAAAAAGAAACAAAATCACATCACAAGCGAGATATCAAGATCTATGAGTAGAATGAAGTGAATGTCGTCGTGAGTGGATGGAGCAAGGAAACGTGGGTGTTGAATCGATCGAATGGAAGTGGGATGATGAGGATGGTGTACACGTGGAGTTGGATGTGCAGAGATTTTCGACGAAAACCCGGAGAAGCTGACGAACCCTATCATGTACGATAGGGTTTGTAGTTTTCGAGAAACTGCCGAACCCTATTAGGTACAATAGGGTTTGTAGTTTTCTCCGGCTTTTTCTTCAAAAAATGGGTAAATCAGGTATTCACCTCTGTACACCCATGATTGACAGGACCTAACATATCATACCCATATATGGGTTGGTCAACCGTTGTATTCCTTCCATCCCTTGTAGATGAAGCCTTACATTCATTATGACTATCAGTATCCAAAATCACACAGAATGAAAGCTCAGCATGGGAGGGTATAATTGAACTGAAACAATAGAGACCAAGGACAATCTGAGATGAAAAGCCGCATTGTATCTCACAAGATATTCAAGTAATGTATATAGTAAGTCTTATGGAAGGAAATGGAAAAAATGACAATTTAAAGTAATCAAAGGGCGTTTTTGATATCACAGTAGTAAGTGTTGTGAATTGAAATGTAGAAAAAGACAATTCAAAGTAAAGAAATGGTCATGATGCATTGGCATCAGGTACAGCAACTACCGTGTAACGTCTGGCTAGGATGTCTTCGTTCCAAGCATTCATGGTAGCTTTGTCGTTCATGATGGCAGCTGGCCCAGCTAACAGCATTTCGGGGGTGACCTTAGAATCAGGTGTCTGGTGTACTGCGAGCTGAATGCCATTCGGAAAGGTTGTTTGTCGCAATTGGATGTCGCAATTTTTCGTCTTTGGGTGCACGTGTACCTTTGGCTTGATTAGTTTAGGGTTGATGTCCTTAAGGTGATTCACTGGTCAGGGGAATGATAAAGATATCACAGTTTGGTTAGTGTATTACACATGGATAATACACTCGTCCGGTGACTTACAAACAAGCTCGTTGAGATGTAAGGTGAAGTCCTTACGAAGTTGGTCATTCGCACTCGTACCCGCGGTCTTTGGCTTGGGGTTGGCAAAATCGCGACTGGTGACTGATCGGTCGAACCTCTCAAGGAGGTGGTTGGGAAAAGAGAAAGTCCTGAGGTAAACTGGATCAGAGCTAAACTCTTTAGTCCAACCAGCCATAGGGTTCGTAGTGGATGGGTTCCACGAGGCCGCCATGAGGTGGAAATGCATGCCGTACGTTTTGTGCGCAATTTGAAGCTGGATATAAAAAGTGGTTATGTTAACATTTTCAACTTCTCAGATCAGTAAAGACAAAGGCAAAAGATACCGAGGTATGAATGTGTTCAATCTGGCGTATACCCTTCAGCTGAAACTTGGAACTCTGCTTAGGATGACGACTGAGGGAAGTGTCGGGTGGTCCAGGCCAGAATGTGGCGCGCCCCCTGAGAGTGCATT